AAAAAAACAATTGTACGGGCTTGACTTACCACGGCCGCACTACTTATTTTATCAATGCTTTCAAATGATTGGTTTCGAAGAAATCGACTTCCTCTGTGCTCTATCTGGATGAACAGCTAGCCTTGAGTGGCCAATTATGCACAATGACCCATTTGCTGTATATGTGCGCACACCACAGTTTCATCACATGTAATCCAAACATAATTTTCGGCTTCAAGCACAATGTACTTGGACTAGTACTCGTACTTGTACTCGGAAGTACAAGTACTCGGACTCGTACTCGTACTCTGAAGTACAAGTACCTGTACTCTTGAGACCTGTATTTGTACTCAGTTGGCAAAGCACTCGGACTTGAATGGTACTCGGCAATCTAAGTACTTGTCAGTACTTGGTACTCCGAAAAAAGTACTCGACTACAACAATGCCTAAAACAGCATCTGGTGTTCCTAACAACTGATTTTGATAACTTTCTGAATGATGCAAAAGACCAAAATACTTGGCTACGGTTTCCAATTTAAGCCTATAGACCTTTATCATGTTGCCACCATTTCATTCATGTTCCCTGTATCTAATAACAGTACTGAATGATACTGGTTTTTTGTGCAAAAAGGAACCAGACTATTTTTCCTTTCAGCTTGCTTTGGTTACGTTGATGTGAATGAGAAAAATCAAGATGGCCGCAAAATGATAATGGTCTCTTGGAGTGGCCGAAGCCATTTCCCATAGACACTTGTACAACTGCATCCTTAGCCACAAGATTTGTATGCAGCCTTCCTTGAGTTATTCTACTTACTTCTATCATCCTGCGATAGCCTGGCTTCCATCTCCATCCTCGTTCCTGTGGTTGCAAGTTGCCTCTCCTCCAGTGTAGCTATCAGCTGCATTTTACTCAAACTGGTGGGCGTTGGGCATGGCTCTTTACCATCCAATAATTCCTTAGGAGGGATAATGATGGGTGTAACTTGTACAACTTGCAACAATAAAAGATTGATCTGAATTATTTAATGCAAAGAATTGATCAAGCAGGGGAGACTTCAAACGCACTATCTTTGTGTGACCAGGGAAACACAGGATCTTCAAGTTTAGATGGAAACTGTACTGTTTTTATTCCCCAGTGGACTCATGGCAGCTGAGTGCAGCCAGCGCTGTAAAACTTTCTTCAAATCACAGGACTTTTCCAACATATGTGTGCTTGTTGGATTGAAATATGTTTCAAATATTTCACCGGTTACATATGGACAAATGTTTCTTGTGGTTTTTTCAATGATGACGCTCCTAGAACACAGAAACTGAAATAACAGGAGCCTCCAAACAGACTAGTACGTAGTTACTTGATTTTTGAACAGACCTCAACACCAACACACTCCACAGACAGTGTACAATCATTGTCTGCTTTGATGTAGTCAATGTTAATTTTTACACACCAGGGTTGCAAATGGCGCCTGAAGCATATGCTTCCAATGTTGGTACAAAACCTACGGACTATATTTACAACAGACAATAACTGTACAGGGCGAGTCAAAAAAAAAAAGGGAACTTAAAGTCAGGACCATTTTTTTTTAATGAATTTCTGCATGTAGCACTTTCAAGATCTAGGATATAAAAGCCCACTTAACAAGCTTTCTTTTAGTACAAGAACCAAAGTTACGGAATTTTAAACACAACACAACCACCATTTTAAAGTTCTGTCCATGGATCACAAAACAGGTTAAGTGTTCTTTCAGCAAAACGATATACATACACCCCTATGTCTGAGCTTACCTTTGGTATGCCCAGCTCTTCCAGGACAAACTTCAATGTAGCCTCAGTGCCTGCCTTCAGTAGCTCCTCGCCCGTCTCCTTGAGTAGATTCTTCAAGGCAGCGCGGGAGAAATACTCCTCCAGGTCAACTAAAATCAGACAAGATTTTTTTCGAACTATGGTCTATTTCAGGGTTCTAATTTTCAGTTCTTGTTTTTGGTTTTTTTTGTTTATTCACTTAACCCTAACTCCCTACTGTCTTTTACCAAGTACTGGAGCAAGTCCACCAAAATCCATTAATCACACTGCTTCCAATGCATGCTTTGCTTTAGGCCTCCAGGCCCAAGTCCTTCATACTCCATCAATATTTATTCAAATCAGGCCTGCCAAACCAAGTCCCCAAAAATCCACCAAAATGGGGGGAAGGATTTTGATGAAGTTGGGGAGGTTAGGGTTATTGAGTTTGGGTTTTGGCACTGTCATTTGCTTGTATTTTGTGTTCTATTTGTAGTTTTTGAGAACAATTCAATTTGCTTGTATCTTTTTTTCTATTCTTAGTTTTGAGAAAAATTCCGTAGGGGCAGATACATCAGAACTATTTTAGGAATTCCCAAATTAATGTTTACATTTTAAAAAACAATGTATATAGTTAGTTTTTAATATAAATCAATATAAATGAACATGTAACTTCTTGGATCATTAACAATCAGCATATCAACCCCTTACATTTTAACCATAATTTTTGCACACTTTTTAGGTTTGATTGCTTCAATATTGTTCTGTTATAGTTGTTCCTCATGCTTACTGTTTGGCCACGTGATGGTACCATTGGGATGACAGATAGGTAAAGCAATAGCAGAATCCTTCAACACTTGGATAAATGGCAAACAATCTGCATCACCAGTCGCTGGGCAGAAACCAACAGACATGCTGACCAGTAGCTGAGTCCTGCTCTTCTCAATGCCGTACCTGCGGGGAATATTAAGGGCAGAGATAGGCCAGGATATACAATGGACTAATTCAAAATTATTATTTATATCAGGCTTCCAGTGGTAAAAATATATCAGCGTATTCTATGCTTTCGAAAACAAGTACCCGGATGACTGCAATGTCAGTAAAGAACCCGAGTGAGGACAATATTACATATGAATTCCTTTGGGGAACTAACCCACCGAGCCGGTTTTTATGTGCAACCTCTATGAGAGAACGCAGCGAAAAAATCATTAAAAAAGGGCCTTTTTTCACATCTGTCGCCACCACTTCATTATTAGACAGGGTATACCTTAGATCTCACTACAGTGTGACCCTAACAATATACCGGTACTCTTTCAGAAAATGAAAGAAAAACTGAATAAAACACTGATTTTCATTCGCGAATTGATGTTAAACATTGCATTTTCAGTCAAAATTCTCCCTGTTTTGTGTGTAAACCACGCGTTAAGCCAAGAACTGGTCCATTAACATCATCATAACAATAAATAGCGCCACCTGGGAGTTTAGATCTCTTGAGTCATTTTTCTTCGTCTCGTCAGCTTTCCAACAATATAACCCTTATTGTGATTGGTTAAGGTTTAGGCTCGCGTGTATTCATTTACTAAAGAATTGTACATCTAAACTCCAATAAAATTTGCTGTTGCTCAATGGCTCAGCGCGTAGGGTCTGTTTATTGTACACGTGCTAGGCAGCGCTTCTGTACGTATATACACAGAGCCAGGGAGCTCTTACACGTATCTCTATGTGTCCAAGGTCATCTGGCTGTGCGCTTTGGCCAGTTTACATGGGGTCCTTTTGACCACAAAGGATTTGATATGCTTTTCATACTGTCCTCATCCGGGCATTTTTGCTGGCTCCCGCACGATCAAGAGCGTCACAAGCACTGTTGTCAACTAGTCCACAGAGCGTAGCACGCGGTACCGTCGCGCCTGCACACGGACGCAGCATGCAGCACTAAGGCATACGTGTAATGCATTTTAGAGTGGCACCAAATTTACTTCGGTAAGAGAAGAATATTCCATGAAATTTGAGAAATTAAGACAGTTTCCTGAAAGTCTTTTGAATTACGTCAGCCTGATATAAATAACAATAATAATATTGGATGACTTTTTTCGAGGGATACAAGACATTATACAACACCTGAATAAATCCCTGTCATCTGATTGTCATCTGATTGGTGGATCGTTGAATTATTCCCCGTCATTGAATTATTCGTACCAACACACGGCGCGCGCGTGGCGCGCAGCGCACAAGTACTATTGCACTGTGATTAGAAGTACCATTGCACTGTCACTGCACATGTTGCCGAAGGTGGCGCTGTGGTGTTTAAATTCGCAATAAAAGTTCTGAACTTATTGAACTGTTTAAGTTCTAAACTAATATGGAAAAGTTTTAAATTGAGATAAATTGAATATGATAGTTCTCAACCTGTTGAACAGTTTGCATAAATTAAATATGATAACTCTGAACTTTAAAATAAGAATTAAAAGATAAAAGGTTACTACCTAAGATGCAGCTCCATATCATCCAAAAATGGAATGTCAAAGGGCACTGGCACGTCCCATTCTTTGCCTGGGGAGAAAACAAGAGTGTTTGTTAATAACTTAATTCCAAAATCAGCTTTTTTTTCACGTTTTTTCTTCACCTTAAAAAAGTCAAATTTTTCGAATTTCTAATGCATAAAAATCAGGAGTTCGTTAATTTACACTAAACCAAAGTATAGACTTACCAAATTCGACATCCAGGATCTGAATGGTGTAGTTCCAAGAGTTGACACCGAGTACAAACTGGAACTCGCAAGGATCAAAGCGCATGAATGCCTTGAAGGCCAGAGATACCATGAAGAGTTTGACGTTCATACAGCACTCCACGCCCAGGCAGCTTTCATCTATCTTACAGTAGACATTCTTGGGTAGGGAGACTTGTAGCAGGGGGCAGCCTGCAAAAATAGGAACGATCACAGTTTTTCCATCACGGTGTTGAATTTGCAACAACTTGCCTTGCACTTACAAAGACACATCATTTATAAACACTGCACTCTAGGCCTACTGTAAAACTGTTAAAGAGGTTGTGAATGCTAGAAGACATTTCCGTCATTTTTCAGGTATATGTAGCCTAAGGTGTGATGAAATAAAAACAACTATTGTTTCTGTCATAAAATGAGTACAAAAGATACTTTTGAGAGCTGTTTTTCAAGTCCTGTCATGCCTGTTTCGACCCGAACATGCAATTTGTGTAAAAGTCGTCGTTGCGGGCAGCAAACAAAAAACAGTAAATCGTGACGTAATAAACAGGACTCCTGATGCAGAGTAGCATAAACGAGTCCAGTTTATTACGTCACGATTTACTGTGTTTTGTTTGCTGCCCGCAACCACGACTTTTACACAAATTGCACGTTCAGGTCAAAACAGGACCTGAAAATAGCTCTCAAAAGTACCCTTTGTACTCATTTCATGACAGAAACATTAGTCGTTTTTATTTCATCACACCTTAATGACGGAAATGTCTTCGAGCATTCCACACCCTCTTTAAAGTAAAAGCACATGGCATAAAGAGTTTACAAAATGTAAGGTTAGAGCACACGTGCTTGTGTGACTAAGAACTTTGACAAAAGTGCCATCGGGGCTTCATCATTATGATTCATAGTTACCAAGGGCCCATTACTTGGACCAAAAGCAATACATACACGTTCACAAAATTATGACATCACTGGAAGTGATCACACTGCACATTTTCAAATGTTGAAAACATTTAAAAGGTACTAGGGATCATTAAATGTTGTGAAATCTTTGGGGTTTTTAAACAACAAAATTGTTCGAATCCTGAGAAGGGTACATAACAACTAACATGTTAAAGTAAAAGCTGGATGGATACTATACATGTTGAGAAGACAGAAAACCTTTGCACTATATTTTGGTCTCGTAAATGGTTTCCGTTGCCAGTGATTCCGATTAAAAAAAACTCTTTTTTAAAAGCACCACAGGCACACTTTTCTTGAACCCAAGTCTGATAATTTGTTTCTTCCCAACGATACCATATCAGGTGGAATAACCAGCCTTTCCTTCACTTTGAGCATGTTTTTTTCTCATCAAATCGGTTGGTTTGTCGAGCATGAAAGTTCGTTTCCTGTCCCATTATTATATCAAAAAAGATACTTTTTTGAGACTTTGATTACAGAGCTCGTATCAGGAGCTTGCGACACCATCACGGTGTCTTTATCAACTGGTGCTGTTTAAACAACAAAATTGTTCGAAATCTCGAGAAGGGTACAAAACAACTAAGGGGCCATTCAAAATGTTCGATGTTTTTAAATTTCGATTTTTTTTTTTTTTTTTTTTTTTTTTTAATGTTTTTGACCCACCCACCTGAATTTTCGATCTAAAAATTTCGATTTTCAATTCAATAAAAAAACATAACAAATGCAAAGTTCAGTGACGGCGGAATTCAGCTGCAGTCCGTATCAGTACCTTATCATGACCCGTCACGTGACCAAGCTTGGTCACACGACAAGAGGCGGTCGTACACGTGACCCAGCTCGTACCCTCCATCTCTGTTCATATGGGGATGGTGCCTGCGGTTGGTTTCTGTCCGGACTATTACCAAATTTGTTCCCATGTGCCTTTAACTCTGGTGTATTTTGCTGCAAATGTTTAATGACATTAAAACTTGCTTTGCACTCTCAAAACTATGAAACAGCCTCAGGTACAACACACACTGCTGACAAACAAACCTAAACCACACAGACGAGCAACTTGTACTTACGATCTTCGGGTTGTTTGTATCGCTGGAGTAGAGTCTTCCTGTCTCCCTGTGAACTGAGACCGCGCTGCTGGAGCTCAATCCTCAACATATCATTGGACAAAGACTCCGGTAGAATGCACGGCTTGTCACTCACTAGTTTCTGCAGGTTTACAAGAGAGCAAGATTTGGGAATTTCATGTTATACATTGTGCTACTCTGTGAAATTGTTCAATGTACTTCCACTGCAAGACATGGAATTCGCTAATGAGAGGAAAATTAAGCAGATCTGTGTTTGACAAGTTCTCATCATGGAATTATGCAGGGTACCCCCCCCCCCCAAAAAAAGAAGGTAACCCACAAAGTGATAATATGAATCCTGAATGATTGTGGCTATCAATCAACAGGAGTTCTGTTTTGTTCATGTTTCCGTAAAGTTAAATGTCCCTTGAACTTTTGATGGAATTGTCTTACGTCTGAGATGTGCTCTTAATGTTTTACCCAAAACTGTCCCAAGAAGGTTTTCAAGTACCATTTTCAAGACAATGTTGCTCAGTGGTGCATGACCAGAGGCATATTAATGCATTCAATATTACAATGGAAAGCTTACTGCCCTAGCTAATTTATGATGACACCATAATAATGGTCATGAAGTTAACAGATTACAATATTGGGAGTATCAAGAATGGGGGGAAAAAATACATTTCTCTACATAAATCATAGAGCTATAATAAATTACTTGAGCGCTGACTTATGTACAAAGTGATGCCTGCTGGGCGCATCCATATTTTTGCACAAACCTATGAAAAACTCGAAATTTTGTACGGCTTTTGTACGGCTATATATGCATATCTGCATTTGTATTCCATACCGTTAAAACCAAAACGCACGATCAGCAAATGAGCTCTGCGCAAACAGTGCAACGCGTGCGTGTATCCGCTGCAGATGCTTTTTGCCGTGAAGTTTTTTGAACCGCCATGACGCGTTTAAGTTCTTTGTGTAAGTTCTACTTGCGCGTTACATTTAGAGTACACTTCTAAAATTCAATCCATCTAATTTCATTGTGTTGAACTACAAACACACACATGAATTCAAAATGTCTGCACCCAGAATGGTTTCAAAGCGCCTCTACGCGCAAGAATGAGGAGTTAGCGCTCTAGTATTTTAATATAGCTCCATGATATAAATACACAATTTGTCAATGGTAATGGCACTATGTAACTAGTGGGTCAATATTAGAATTCAGGAGCAAAGATATTTTTAATGAAAAATACAAAATTCACATTTGAACAGATTTGCATTGTGAGTGCGTAAGAAAGTGCTCAGCTTTGCCTTATACCTGAAATTTATTTTGAAAAATTGTGAACCAATGAATCTTTTTTTACTCAATAATCCTCAAAGAATGAATGCTTTAGACCAGCATACTCACAACAATCGTCTTGACAACTGTCAGTAAGTCATCTGCTGTTTTCTCCAGTCCAATCTTACGGGCAAATGCCAGAATGGAGCCAATCTTCAAATTCCTCAGAGTGAAGTTCTTGAAAGGAGAACCCGAGCCTATTTTTGGCTCTGGAAGGCCAAGTGTTTCCTGGGTCTGCTGTCTGTTGCCTTGAAAACAATAGTGAAGAGATTGTAAATAATAACAACAACAGAAATAAACATGTAGTCATCAAACATAGATACAATGGGATTTATGTTGTTCACACATCATCCTTGGCTCCTGATTTTTGTGTACAAAATGGACCGAATATTGTTGTTGAATAATGACAACAGAAGAGTGACAAGTGGCTAGCATTTCTCCAAGGAATAGATGGGGAAAGCCATCCATTGCTGTAGGTAGTACACATAAAAACTGTGTAATTACACAATTCAATAGTCAGCATGTGTTCAAAGTCGTCTTTTAGTAACTACCAGGGTGTGCAGGGTGAAAAGTGGGTACCGGAGCACCAGCAACTTAAAATCACTGTACCGAACATTCGCTATTACGAACAATGTTCGTTATAGCGGTGTTCCACCGTATAAATATAATAGAGCATGACTTATTCACAAGTTGTTCTGTATACCTGGTGATATTGCTTGATTAAGAGAAGATGTTCGCTGTGGTGGTCTCTTGCTAGGGTCAGGTCTATCGGTGGTTGTGTCAGGGGGAGGTTGGCGCTTTGGACTGGTGTCCTTCGTCTCTCCGTCCTTATTATCGCGTCCAAGCAAAGTACCTTCCTTCACTGTCTCTCCCTGTGGAACAAAATTCAAGTGTAGGTTCTTATTATGCAGTCTTTATTAAGTTTGTCAAACATAAACGGGAACCCACATTCCAAGCCCCCCCCCCCCCCCCAAACAATGAATGCTGGGTTTTCCATTGATTTCTGAACATGGAGGTATATAACGCCTTGTCCAGATGGTAAAGTCACTAAATTTAACAAGATTCCCCACTATGGGTGGATTATAAGGCTACTCAGCAAGTTACAGACTGTTGAAAATGTTGACTCAGCAGGCGATTTCACAAAACTTACGCCGCAATGGCATAAGTCCACTTGCGCCACAATTGATTGCAAAAGTTGCGCAACATCCATGCTGCACAACCTTTCAGTTATGACAACTAACCTATCGCGGTAGAATTGCGTTAGAATCGCGTGTACGCAGCTTGTGAAAATTGGCCCATTACATGATATACAAACGGATGCATAAGTGCAACAACTGAGACAAACAAAACTTAGCGTACAAATATTCCAGAGGGGCGTCTAAGGGGCATGGCCAACTCGCAAACGGAGATAGGTCAATTTCACAAAAGTTTGATAGTGCGTAAGTCCGCAACTTGCGCAAACAACTTATGTCGTAACTTGCGCAATCATTTTATGTGGCTTTAGTTGTGGCGTAGTGACTGAAAATGACCTATTTTACCAACAAATCACGATCATCATGGCACCTTTTATTGCACAACTTATCAAGGTTGATACAAGACCCTCACAGCTTTGTGTTTCAAGTAAATGAATTGCTATTTTAGTCATGACCGAGCATTTAGAGATGCCGCATGATTCCGAAGAAAGTCGGACAAAATTATTTTCAAAATGGTGGGCGGAGGTGATGCAACGACTGTTACATGAAAGAACAAGAACAAAATCACACACAAACAGCCATTGTAAATGCTGTTATTATTCTCGTCCAAGATGATTAGATTATTTATAACGTTGCCCAGCTACTCCATGTTTCGCGAAATTGATTGTAAGTTTATTGCGTAGCTGCGCAATAAATGTGTTGTCCTATGCATGGCGTAATCTATGCACTGTTTCGTGAAATCGACTGCAGGATGATCTCACAGCAAAGTGGTATTTGAATGATTTGGGGTTAACGGTCAAATAATATTATTGATTATGTATGGTCGCGTCAGTGCAACAAGGTCGTAACTCGATTCTGCAACAAAGTCATATCTCACGCGAGTACACTCTGTGCAACAAGGTCACATTGCAACGTTCATTGGCTTTGTGTGTACATCTGGGTTATTTTAAGTGTGAGATACAACCTTTTGACATTCTGCAACTCGCGTTTCACATACGGCCCATTTGAGGAGATACGACCTTGTTGCACGGACACGACGGTATTTGATTAGAGTGTTATATTACTGAGTGTTATTAGAGAGTCAGGTTGGCGTAGCGGTACTTTCCTCACCTTCCACTGCTGTGACCCGGGTTCGAATCCTGCCTGGGCCAATATGTGGATTGGGTTTTCAGTCCCTACCTGATTCCGTGGGTTTTCCTCAGAATATTCCACTGGGCTTTTCCTCCCACCTCTAAAACTGTAATTTCTTCTCATTGTCTTCTCTCTACAGGTTTCTTCAGGCTTTCAAGCTACAGTGCCTAGGGCACTTTTGAGGAATCCTCGGTTTCATTACCAGAAAGAAATAACAAAAAACATTACTAGGACCTACCTTCCATACCAGCTTGTAATCATCACAGACTTGAGTCCATTTTGGTAGCGCCAGGGGCCTCTTGGCAAGGTAGTGACTAGGGTCCACATAGCCCTCTTTAGCAGCTTCATCAGAAGCTGAAGGATCATCATCCAGGGCGATGTCTAGAATGGCTGCCAGGCGGTTAGGTTTAGAGTTCTTCATGGACAGGTGGATGTAGTTGGGTGGTGTGCAGGTTGTAGACCTGCCGACTGTACCCATGACGGTACCAGCTATCACCTTGTGGATGGACAGATTATAGACCAGAATGAAGAGATTACAAAGAGATCATAAACAAAACGTGCGGCTTGTCACCACAAAATGAATTTAATGTTGGATAAGTGAGCTATTTGTAATTCTGAGGAACAAGCACCATCCAGTGGTACGTAACTTTTTGAGTTGTCATGAACCCCACCCAAGGATCCCTCTGTCCAAGTTGCATGAAAATCCATCAAATTCTGTAGACAAAGAAACATTTGAAGCACATTCCAACAATGACCTCTAATGACTCCTACATGACCTTTGACCTCAGTAATCTGTTGACGAATTGTGTCTTCCCATCCAAAGGTCACTGCATCCTAGATTCATCAACATCAATGAAAGCACGTAGAAGTGAAAACATTTTTTTCAAAAACTTCTAAACTTTAACATACATACAGAGATACGGTTAGACAGGGAAACCGGGATATAGAATTTAGGACTGGTAAGTGTCCCCCAAAACTTTGTTTAGGCGACACAAAAATGGATTAAAAAAAGGTTTTCTATAATACAATAACAAAACTAAGGGAAAGGTATAGGAGGAATCTTGGATTGAGGTTCACCTAAAAACGAAGAAAATAGGCCAACCCTTTGAATTGTGCCTTTGCCCCCTTTAACTGCATAGTTACAACTTGCAACTTTAAGCTCATTGCATGGTGACCTGTCACTGACAAAAATGACTGAAATGATTCCATCCAAAATGAGAGCCCACCAACGACAACCCGTGTACCAAATCAAGTCTCTTTTCTACTTACATTCACTCCCTCAGTTTCAGAGATGGTGCGATTGGGCTTGATGTTGTCAATGAAGATCTTGATGTTTCGGAAGGCCCCACCACCAGCTACCAGAGTAACCTGGTTGGGTTTACCGGCACTCTTGAATAGGACGCCTGAAAATGGTGCCACCAACTAAAACAAAAACCAACAAAGTATTTGGACATCAAAAAAATTGAGATAACTCTGGGAATGGAAAATGAAAGACTGTATATACCTCCTTTTACTATAGTAACGTATCATTTTTATTGTCATGTTTTCTTGATTACTATTTTTTACAATTTTAAGGGTGCCAGGATACTTGCTTTTGCAGTTACTAGGAATAAAGGTCTTTTGAAAGACAACACAACAAATAGATACAAGTAACTAATGAAAAACTAGACAATGCACAAAGCTGATAATTAGCTGTTATTCTGTGCAGCAATGTCGCCAACTGGGTTTGAATAGGTCTCTCTCAGATAACGTCACTTCCTACAGATTGTCACCTGCATCTGCATTTTGGGTGTAAAATTTGTGTGACGTGCATCGGCTGCGCCGTATTTCAAAAAAATGTCGAGCAACAAGCGCGCGTGTTTAGAACATTTTGCACACTGCGCGCACACGCACCCGATGGTGTTGAATACGCAGTTGTAATTTTCCTACGAAGATGGCGTCCTACGAGAGAGATCTATGAGGAATAAATGTGTGCTTGGCCAGTTTTAATCACTGTGTTTAATACCAGTTTGGGGGCTGGACACTGATAATTGCCAAAGGCAAGGGTCATTATAAGCGTCCAGTCTCCAAACTGGTCTTAAAAAATAGTGTTTGGTACCGGCAAAGCACATATTTATTCCCATTCATAAATACCTTTTTGGTCAAACAGTCAAAACAAGTAAAAAATTATAAATTTCAAACGATTTTGTTCAACAAGTTTACTTCATGTTTTATTAAACACCGTTTGTGCCTCTCATGAGTAATCATAAACAACTCCTTATATGGAGATTGGTGTGTGTGTTGCGTGTACTGCTCGCAGAATGCAGCTGTGAATTTAGGACTATGAAATACGGTTTCATTGGTAGTATTGGGCATTCCTACTTGAGGATTGTGAATGTTCAACCAATAAAAGGTACAAAGGGACCCGATTTCATAGGAGTCAAAATTTCATGTGCCACTGGAAAATTGTTTAAGACTAGCCAGCCGGTGTTTAATCAACAATTTAAGACCAGCCACATGACAGGCTCTTGACCAATAGGAATGGGTAAACTGTCTTAGGTATTTATGAATTGAATTTTAATCACTGTGTCTAGAGAACATGTAATCACTTACCGAGAGAGTAACATTTAAAATGCAAGGTATATCACATATAAATTTCTACATGCAATATAGGGTCATATTCACTTCTGTCTTGACGGAACAACAGTGTAAAGTGGTTTGCTCAAGGACAGCAAGGTTCAATTTGCAAATGTTGGTGATTCAGAATAAAATACGCACCTTTGTTCCTGCTGAAATTTCCAGATCTACACCTTGATCCTCATAATGTCCAGCCGAGTCAGTCGGGTAGAAACCTCCTGATGCACACTCCCCAGAGCCAGGTTCTCGGTATTTCCTAGGAAATCTCTCGTGGGCCTTAGGCCCAAACAGTTTCATGACAAGAGCTTGAGATTTTTGGTAACTGAAACAAAAATAAACATCATGTCTTTGTTTTGCAACAGGCTTTCACACAAGAGCCAAGCTATGGCAATACGGGCGATTCCAAATTCCAAAGTTCATTTTTTGCAGTGCATTGTGGCAGATGGTTGACAAATTCGCAGCGCGGGATACTTGAAGTTGTTATATTTTCCGGTCAGTAGTTTCGTAAGTGTATGATTCAAGGATCTGTCTGATCTTTTCTTTTCTTTTCTTTTTATCAAGATGGTGTTTTTTAATTAAAGGCGGCAGAACGCTATTCTCTGATCTTTAACATATTACCTCGAGTTGTCTACAGACATTCGTTCATATCGTGGCAAGTCGGCCATGTTTTGTCGACCGTTAACTTGAACAATTGTGTTTAACTTGAACATGTTGTGTTTGTTGGTCCTTTATTACTGTACTTTGGTTGTATGTTTGTCCATAGGTAAGGGCACAAAAGCGTTCTGCTTAACCTTGTACCTAAATGTTTTCAGTTAATCTTACACTTTATTACTAATCACTGTGTACATAACTATCATATATTACTACTGACTTCTTTGAAATTTATACATGATTGTACATTTATTGTAATGAATGACATCATTGAAATAAATGTTACTACTAAAATGTTACAGTTGACTCTCTGTGGCAAACTCTTGGTGGCGCTCTGTATATGAAATTGCCCTTATTCCGATCCTTACACCAATTAAAGACATCTATAACACTGAACGTCTCAGTAAAGCCCATGTACAAGTGCCATACAGTGAATGCATTTAATTAAACTTCACGTGATGTACAGAAAAACATGTTTGAATATGTGCATCTTTCATCTATGTTTATGTGATAGGACACAATGAAAAGTTTGGGGCCCAAACGCGCAAAAGATCAACGTGTGTGAGACAGCTCCATGGCTTGCCCAATTGACCTAGCGGTTTGCATGCCACATGCGACACGCTGGCCACGTGCACTCACACAACTGACCTCTAGAGAGAAATTCATCCTCTTTACAAAACCGCTACCCCCAGTGTGCTCTGACATTGGGTTCTCAAAGGTCTGTCACAAACGGTCATTTTCTGTTCCGCTCCATAGGCAATTGCCTCATAACCCACATTTTCATTAAAAAAATTATCAGTGGTTTTTCTGCGTTTCCAAGCCAGACATAGATAGACTTAAAGCCAGAAGAATGAATTTTCATAATCTGCAACCCCCAGATTTGTGCGACTGTCCGTTCTGAAGATACAAGGAATTTAGTGTAAAAAAATGTGCTATCTTTGTGGTCATTTCCCCACGTTAAAGCTTGTGTGGACATTTCCGGTTGAGCAGATGCGCGCTACTTTTCATTATGATGCACCCAATCATAGGCACATTCAGGAGTTTGTAGACAAGTCCTCACAATCACAAGTCACCCACTCTCAAGTCAAGTCACAAGCTACTCAAGTGAACTGTTTACTAAAGACACTATTTATCTGACTTGTTAGTGACATGCAGTTGTCCTGTGATTGATAAAACTACAACCCAGTACATGTGGCGTAACATCGCAGTATTAGTTATCCCGCGAGCGAGTGGAACACGGAATAATGTAGTGCGTCTGTGTCCCACATACCACGAGGCCGAAGAATGTGGGACACGGACGCACTACATTTTTCGTATTCCACGAACGCAAGCGTGATAACGAATTTATCTTCAAGCAAACTTGACGCACAGTAAAGATGGCACGCGCAAGCTGTACACAAACTTTTCAGCGGTTATTCTATTGCACGTGCGTGTTGTACGGAATGGTGCTCGCATCTTAGAAAAGCGCAATATGCGGAGTGCGGTATGGCCGAGGCCGTGCTACATCGTTATATGTAGCACAGCTTGTTGCCATGGATCGACCAATCAGGATCGAGGATTCAAGTTTACTTGAAGATAATATGTTGAATGAATGATCTGGGCCTAATTTAGTGGAGTCAGTAAGCAGAAAATATTGCTCAGCAAACTTCTTGCTCAGCAAACTCAACCAAGAAGCAGTTAAAAGAAACATTCATCACGTTCATTTTGGTGCTTAGTAATCTTGAGTGTTGAGTTGTACGTCCACACACACTCACCCTTCCTTCAGTGTTTGATAGGCTTCTTTGACAGCATCAACAGTACTGAACACAAGGTCGTACAGCTCAAAGAATGGTTGTAGGAGATTCACGATGGGCTGTATGGGTTCCATCAAATCTTGGAAGATGGACTCAATCTCATCTTGGACTCGCCTCCTCAATGTGCGCTATAGTGGTGAGAGAAAAACTTAATGTGAAACAGAAGACTGAAATGACAGAGATTGGATCGGCCAGGAAGACAATTGTGGAGTGTGTGTAGACTGTTTGAAATTTGAGTTCAAACCAAGCCAAGGGATCTTAGTTCTTGTGTCCGTCAGCTGGACACCTTGCTACAATTGTATCTCTTCATCACTCAGGAACAAACTGTTGCTCTTGTGGCAGAACTGATCGTCGTGACCTTAGTTTTGACCACACATAAAATATGGTTGTTGAATAATCCAACATAAAAAAATTACACATCCTTGCTTGTAGAATTGAAGCAACTTGAAAAATACTACGGAATTTGGTGAAAAAAATTTGAGTATCGATCATCAGACATTATTAATTAATGGTAGATAAAATACATAACAATTTGGGATGCAAATTGGATGACCATTGTAGCCAATTGTTTGTTTTGGCAGAACTTGTTATATCAGCATGTGACTGGACTAATAAAAAAATAAGGATTTTTCAGTTAGAAATATGCGAGTGTTTTATGATTTACTTTGGTATTTTAAATTTGGCATTTCATGTGTTTTCTAATTTCAATTATTAAAAATGTCCAAATGTAACTCTCTTGTCAAAAAAGGAATATTGCTCTTGCCGAGAAGTAAATTATTCTTCTTTTCATGCATCCTGAGAGTTACTACCCTTACCGAATCCACTGCTCCCCCTGTCAGCTTCTTGATGGGATCTGAGGAACCCACAATCTCATCCACCCAAACTCTAAGATCTCGTCTGATGTTGCCGAGATGCTCCTTTAATTCTTTGAGCATATCACCGATGACCTTGGGCAGATCAAACCAGTAGGGTCTCTGACCTGGAAAGCAGATGGAATGCATGGAATGATTATGGTCCTTGCTTTTGCCTTGGTTTTTTTTTTTTTTTTTTTTTTTTTAAATTGCAACGTTTATATCTGACCAGCTCCCACAGAGTAAGTCTTAACGTAGAAAGGGTGCTAACTCTGTAAATGCAACGAGGACTTTTGAATCATTTTGCTGGGTTGGGTAACATGTGTTTCTGACATCAGTGGCACACCAAGGAGTGCCTTAGCATGCCACCTTCAGCAGACACCTGATGCAGCAAAATTAATCCTTGGAGACTTCAATCAGTGTACCCTCTCTGACTGCTTACCATCTTACCATCGGTATGTCGACTGTCCAACACGAAATCAGGCATGCCTGGACCTGTGCTTTGGAAATGAACTAATTTCAGTGATAAGTCTGTCTCACCTTCCTTGAAAAAGTTGGCTTCTTCCACCTCTTTCATGGCATTGATGATTTCAGTAACTGCAGTCTTGATGCTATGAAATAAGGAAGAACATTCAAAATTGGATGATCTGCCTATAATTATAGATATCAATAAAGATGCCTGTTCATTTAATAGTGGGAATGTGGGAGAATAAACCCTTGTTCTGATGACATCACACTTTGTTTATGTGTGCGATTTTCTACGGGCTATGAAACCGTCGTCCCCACCAGGCTCCCGTAGAAAAGCACAAGTGAAAAAAAAGCAAAACGTCATCAGTACAGAGTTTATTTTGCAGCTTCACCTTGTGACGTGACCAACTCTGTATACAGTGGAACACCTTTATAACAAGGTCCTTGGGACTTCACAAATTACCTTGTTATAACAGGTACCTTGTGTAAACAGTATGGAAAAAATAGAAAAACAGAGGCTTGGGACCTAACATTTTGCTTGTTATAAGCGGGATGTTGCATTAACAGTGCTCTTCTTATGAGGGTAGGACTGTATACCCAGGGTCAGCACGTTCCTGGTGCACATAACCGTTGCTCACAAAATGCACGGATGTTGTTCACAGAAAGTGACGTACCCAAAATGCTTTGCAATACCTGCAATTTTGTGAAAGGTCTTAGCAGTCACCAGCCAGTGCACAGCAGTACTTATACAATTTACACCAGTAAGGGAAAAAAAAGACTGCAAACTCACTTGAGGACTCCTTTAAAGATGTCTCCGATGGTTTTCAGTGGTGACTTGAGTAGATTTGCAATGGCATCTCCAATTGTAGTAATAGACTTCCAGATCTGCTCTGCTGCCCAGGGCAACGTGACTGTGATGGCTTCATTGACGGCCTGTACAGATACAAATCCATGTCAAGATCCATTACCTCTACTCCTTATATTGCATTAACTAGTTCACGCCGGGATTATTTTGACAAGAACGGAACAAGGCGCAGGATTACTTTTCACTCGAGCTCAAGCCAGGCGAGTTGAAGCCATCACCCTCGGGCAGCACACTCGTATTTCTGACCTCGCAGTGTGGCCTCGGGTCACTGACAGATACTTCCGGCTTCGCTCCCAGCGTGTTTATCTGTCATCCGTTCCAAATACCGCAAAACTTTTGCCTGTATACACGGCCTCCGGCGCAAACTGGTTAACAAGTGAAATTGATCCTTCATAAACCAACAAATACAATCTCTTTAGCAAAAAGACCAGCACCCGATTTCACGAAGCGCTGCGACGCGTCGCAACTCGAGTTACGACGTGTAACACGTCGCAACTTGCGACGCGTCGTATCTTCCACTTCACGAAAGTTGCGATGTGTTGAACGCGTCGTAAGTTCCTTGACAACGGCTTAAAACACGTCGCAAGTTACGATGTGTCTAGTGGTCATCGCAAAATAAGAAGAATCATTTCTAAGCCAGTTTTATGCCACAAACATTACATTAACGAGATTATAATACCGAGGCAATATGTGTAAAGTTGTAAAAAGAAAATTCATTGAATAATTATGAATAAGACCGGAATATTAGAGTTGAAATTTCAAAGAAGCTATACAGTCCAATGAGAGCTTGTTTTTCTTCAAAATTGCATCGCACAGCCGCCATTTTGTTTTACGTTTTAACAAATTTCGAGCTGAGATCCGACGACTCTTTGTTGAATATCAGACGACTATTTACTGTACGCTGACTAAAGACATAAAACAGTCACCGAGTTGTGCTATAAATAGACCTACGACGCGTCGCACTTACGACGTGTTTAGTGAAATGGATCGCAGGACGCGTCGCAGCTGCGACGCATCTGAAAGTTACGACGCGTCGCAGCGCTGCGATGCATCGTAAGTTACGAAGAGTTTGGTGAAATCGGGTGCAGACCAATTTTGGAGCTTCTAGATACTCCTTTAGATGCAGTTTAAGTCCTTTGATAAGAGATGCACATGTATCAATGATTTTCCCACAATGTCCTGGCTAAATATTGCCCTGAATACACAACATATTGTTTGCTATCAATGTGACAAGTAGTTGGTTTGCTTTGCAACTTCACGACTGACATTTCTTGTTTCATCAGATCAGATGATCCAAAATTTACGTCAATTGATCATCAATGTGTGTAACAGGACCTTAATTGTTTCTTTAAAATACTATGTAGCACATCTGTGTTTATATAACCGACATACAGATCCTTGTCATTTGATTGGTGGAACTCACATCACGTGGCATTCGTTATTGCTCCCATTCATGCCGCGGCTCAAAAAGTACTATCCGCCCATGGGGAATGGGAAATACTATTCAACAGTTAGGATCATGATGCGGTATTTGTGTGCAAATGCATGCTGGTAGCGCGTACTGTTCCAAAGAGCCAGCACTACAGTGTTGGGTTCAAACATTTTCGTGAAGGGGGGTTTGGAAGAGAGAAATAAATTTTCCTCCAGTTTCGTATTGAAAAAAAGTTCAAATATATCAAATGACAAGGATCTATACGTCAGTTATATAACACAAATATTGAGTGGCTTTAAATTGTGAAATGGGAGGAATATTATTGCTCGGTAAAATGTGGACTTTTCCAGTTCACTCGGCTTCGCCTCGTGAAATGGAAAAGTCCAGATTTTACCTTGCAATAATATTCCTCCCATTCCACACTGAACCACTCAATATTTGTATAATCATATACCATTCAGCCTTTTGCCTTGTGGCAAATTGAATGCAAATGCACTATATTATTCTACATTCCACTTGCGTTCTTCGAATGACTTCAAGCAAACTCAGACACAGAAAAGATGGAACGCTGTAGACAGTGGTTATCGTATTACATATCTGTGCAGCAGGAATAGCACGATTCAAGTTCGCTTTAAGTTAATATTAGTTATTCCGTGAGTGCGAGTGGAGCACGGAATAATGTAGTGCCTCTGTGCCCCACATACCAAAAGGGCGAAGGCCGAGTGGTATCTGGGACACAGACGCACTACATTTTGCCATGTTCCACGACTGCGAGTGGGACAACGAAATTATCTTCAAGCAAACTTGACGCACAGTAAAGATGGAACACGCATGCTGTACAGGAACTTTTCAGCGGTTATTTTAAAACACGTGCGTGTTGTACGGAATGGCGCGCGCATCTTGGAATAGCGCAATACGCGGAGTGCAGTTCGGACCATGGCCGTGCTTCATGGTTTAAATATAGCACGGCTTGTTGCCATGGATCGACCAATCAGGATCGAGGATTCAAGTCTACTTGAAGATAATTATTATCATCTGGGTTTAGGTCAAGTCCACACAATCCATCAAAGTTCATCACAAGTCATCAAGCCCGCAGTCAAGCTACATTGGTATTTCACTGAATGGTTGCCAAGGCATTCCTTTGTCATTGTTCCTCCCCTGTCACTTGTTATCTTACTTGTGAATGACTTGTGATTTGGTTTGTGATCGGCGTTTGATTTGACTTGAGACAAGACTTGTGAGGGACTTTGTGATGGACACAACTACAACTTTTCATAAAGACCTGGTAGAATTCCATGACATCTGTCTTGATATCACTGAATAACTGAGTAGCCTTGTTGACCACATTAATGACACCTCTGAAGGACGGTGGTAGCTGATCAGGATCAAACTGAGACAGTCTGGACACAGCCTTGGTAGCCACAGATCTCACGTTCTATGTACGGGACATAAATCATTCAAAACGTTACAAGACAATCCTCATAAGCAGTGTAAGTCAATTAACACCTCTTTTATTATTGTTATTTTATTCAGATGAAACCAACAACAGTCAAATATAAGAAACAAAGAGCAGTTGATTTCATCTGGTATAGCCCAGAAAGCCAATTGCAGAGGCTTATTTCCATTGAGATCCCACCTGTTTAAGACTTGCGTTCCAGAGTTCTGCCAAACCAAATTTTTATAAGAACTCTTTGACAATGAAACAGGTTGGAGCTTCTAAGTGAATCAACTGTTGCAGTTCTTCGGACTGATTCCTCAGATAAGTCAATCGAAAATCTATTTTGGCCAACCGCCGAGTACATGTAGCTCCTAATGCTAGACACAACTCCAGATGCCAATCTGAAACAGGTGTAAGGACCCATGCAATTTAAGGTAGCGTCCATCATTTGTAACTTGTGCATTTTGTTCGTTTGAAGCAACAAAAGTGCCCAAAATCTAAAGACGGGTGCTGAACAACAAACCTGATGAAGTTTTCGCTTGGTGAATACTGTATATTCTGAGAAAATATTCTAGGATCTCGATTTCAAATCAAAAGTTGCTGAGTCATGTTTTGAATTGGGCCTGAATTCAGCGTTCTCACTGAGCCGATTACAGCTACGCGATGGCATGCACGAATTAAAGCAATGTCGTTCTGTCAAGGCTTGCGCGCGCTTCGCCGAATAGAAAAATGAACTACTGACGGAAATTTCCAACGATGCGTCTTTATCATTGGAAAACGACAGCTTGCCAGAAAGAAAAATTTCACAGGGAGTTTAGTCCCATTGCCATCTTTAAACCAAGTATGCTTTTCAACAATTATTACGTCAGTTACTTTTTGGATAGCTGCAAATGATGGACTGTACCTTTAATCTACAGCTGCCTAGTAAAATTACATGCTTAGCCAATGAGCTGAGAACCTGTCACAAGTAAATATATGAATATGACACGTTATGTCATATCAGGGCTCTATTTCAGGCTTAGCGGATTGATATGCTAAGCAAGAAATAGCTGACAATCCATAATATGCACTCAACTTTGCAGGGCATTTTGGTTGGTAACTCTTTTTTCTGCAAGGCAAATAATTTATGTGTCTAGCAGCCCCACTAAACTGTCTTAGAATGCTATGAAACAAAAGCTGGAATTCTGAACTGCTTTTTTTCACAAAATATGTTTTAAGTGTATTACATTGTAATACAGCCTGCCAACTATGTCTTACATTGCATACTTACAGTAATGCTACTGGGGATGTTCTCCAGAGCTTGAACAAAGTCGTCAAATAGCTGAGAGATGCTTATGTCACCGTTGAAGAGACCAACAACAATGTCCACTGCCCTACGGATGTTTCCAATTACTTGCCCAACGATGAGATCGTATGCTTTGACAAAGTCACTAATGCGCTCCACGCCAAACTCCTGATTGAAACAATACATAGCATCAGATGACATTATGGCCAAACATATAACGTATTTATTTATTTTGTTTATTAACCCTTACTCTCTGAGGGTAGTTTACTGCATGTCAGTTGGTTATGCCAATGCCCTCCAGCTGCAGTATATTGGCAGATAAACTATCTTGACAGTGAAGGCTCCAATTGGCAGGAGTTGGAGGCCCTGGAGGGTGCCTGATACTGACCAGCTGGGGGCACTCACTTTGTTATCAGAGGACTCTCATTGTTCTCTGTGGCATGTATTGGAGTGCCTGTCCAGTTACCCTTGAAATGACATCGCAGATATTGGAGGGCCATGCAAAAAACATAGGAGATTTTCTTGAGGCACATATTGGCATGCGTTGGAGGGTCAAGTAGGGTAAGGGTTAAGAAAACAATTCGGATGTGAACATTTATGCGACGAAGTCTTGCGTCTTATCGCCCATTGATTTGACTGAATTTATAAACGCGTGCAACAGTCGTGCAACGAAAAAAAGGACAACTAGACTATGTTCTTGTTATACATTGTCTTAAATAATGGTCTTGTTATACATTGTACTTGTCACCTTCTTAAATTTTTATTGTCTTTTTATCATTCATTACATTAATCTATAGGTCCTTCATATGCCATTTTTTCCTTAACACGTATCTTTTGCTTGATTAGTTTTGTTCTTAGGTTTTAATGCTAATGTGCTTGTAGTTATATTATTTGATTATTAATAATATTAGTGTAACAATATGTAATTTCTAAAGGTTTTTCATATTTGTGATTAAATTTTGGTTTTTTGTTTTTTGTTTTGTTAATGATTGTTAACTCTTTCGCTACGGCGAGCCGCTGACAGCGGCCCATACAAATTGTACAGGTCGTACTGAAAGCCGCTGGCAGCGGCTCGGTTGCGTCGCTATGAATAAACAGGGTATCCCCATGACGTGGCCAATATCTACATAATTTATATCGTATAACCTCTGACCCTAGTTCGAGCCGCTGCCAGCGGCTCTCCGTCTGGCCGGGGTGCGCTTTTTGTTATTGTGAGCAGTTTGTTTACGGAGATACATTCAAAGATGGCGGCGCCCACATCGACGCTCGGCGGAATTTTCAGCTTTGAATTACGTCCAGTTGGGACGAAAAAGGTAAATTAAATTCCTTAGCGAAAGAGTTAAGCGCCTTGAACGTCTTTTTGAAGGATTTGGCGCTATATAAGAATATTTTTATTTTATTATTATTATTATGTTTGTGGACAAACACAGGGCTGTTTCGGTAACTTTTTGTGACACGTGGACATTTAAGTTTTAGGTATAGGTAATGCTATCATACATGTAAATGAGATTTGGAGGTTTGAATGAAGTCAGCAAAATAAGTAAGTTGCACTATGGTCCAATCACAAACTTAACCACCATGAATGTTGCCAATCCATCTAAAATATGTGACAATGTGATACAAAAGATACGACAAAGATAAATGTACCTGCAGTATGTTGAGGTTATAATCAATGTAGCCATTGAAGCAGAATCGAGCCCGGGCAATGTCCATTGAAAACCCAACAAGCCCAACGACAACTGTGGCATAAGCCTCGTCAAATAGATCCACGCTCAGGTGACCACTCAGTGGAGCTGTCAGACACAAACAGAAAAGTCAAGTTTTCATTTGTTTTGTACAAGGCTTATGTTTTCGTAAAACACAATTGACATCATACCTCTGTAATTATGTCACTCACACGTCAAATAACAAATTTTAGTGACTTGTGACCGATTGTAGCGTCCATCATTTGTAATTTGTGCATTATGTTGGTTTGAAGCAACAAACGTGCTCAAAATTTAAAGAAGAATACTGAACAACTAATCTGATGAAGTTTCAGCTCACTGAATGCTGTATATTCCGCGGAAACAATATTCTAGGATCTCAATTTTAAATCAAAAGTTGCCGAGTCGTGTTTTGAATTGCACCCGAAATCAGCAGCCAGAACATGTTCTCATTCAGCCGATTGCAGCGACGGGATGTCACGCACTCAACTGATGAATTATAGCAACCGCGAGCGAACGTGCATCGTTTCAACTCGCTGAACTAAAACAAACTACTACAGTCGGCTCCCGTTATTAAACCACGGGACCGGCCAAAATGTTCGTTGTATCCGAATTTCGTAATGTTTCCCGTCCATTGTTCACCTTGAATTGGCCCTATTGTGCACGCTTGTGAACGTACGTAATGTACCAAATGACTTTTTCTGTTTGAAAATGAAAGCAATTAAGAACATGCTCTCTATGTGTCATTTGTCAAATAAAAAATAATGTTTAAAATGTATCATTGTGTCAAGTGAAAAAAAATATGTTTAATGTACGAAAATAAAATAAAATAAACATTACGAAGATCTGACGTTTCATTGCTTGATCATCGATGAGGAAGTCAACGGCGCACCACCTGGATCACTTCGATGTTCAAAGTAAGTAATCTCTCCAGCACAAATTGTGTCATGGAGAGACATTTAAATTGTATTGTCCTTTCGTCTTGCAGATTTCAATGTGACAATGTGATAAGCGTTTTCAAGCACATGGCCGAGAAACCTTTGCCATTTACGTTCCAGATTTTACGGTCCGTCCGTGATCTGAGTAAATTTTACAAATTGGTAGAGCGCCCTCATGAGTCAGCGTCCTAATGAGTGATGATGTCATAATCTTACATCGTGATTGGATATTAACGTCTGACGATTTCAACGTCACGCAAGCGGACGAACTCATTGGCGTGCACCAGTTCATTTATTCATAGCTTTGCATATGTATGCATAATGTCCAGCGTTGATGGTGATCAGTTTCTTATCGTCCCAGCAGGTTCCTTTTTTAAAAGTTACAAAATAGCTTAACGTATTTTGTGCTGGTGCAAAGGCAAAGTTTTGATTATAATTTAATAAATAATTTAAGAAAATATTTTTTTGGGAGGGGGGAGTAATTTATGGGAGGTCGTGAATAATTTTAAAATGAAATTACGTTTTGGAGAATTTTGGGATAGTCTAAGATTGTTTATTTCATTTTGGATTTGTAATGGGGTTTTTTGTAATTTTTGTTTAACCTTACATTTTTTTTTTTAAATCAAATCAAATCTGTGCCGGGGAGGGAGAGGGTAAATTATATTTTATTTAATTTCCAATTTTTTATAAGGGGTTCTATTTGGGGGAGGGGGATTATTTTTATTTGCTCCGGGTAATAGGGTGGGAGTTCATTATTTTTATTCGAGTCGGGATTCAAATCTTTTTGAAAATGTGGTGGCTCTGAAAAGAGCCGTTTGGTTTGATTTATCTGGAAGGTGATGTTACACCTTGAAGAAGTCGTTATCTTCCGCTGTGACATCTTGTCTTGCTGCCTACTGGAGAGGTACTGCAGGATTTGTTGTGAGGGACAGCCCCTTACGCTTAACCTTGATCGAAGTCATGATGTATCAGTAGTCAGCTCAGAAGTATCAAAAGTCAGCTCAGAAGTACGATAATCGTAATGATCACTTGTCATATTCTACACCCCTTATATCCAATATCTGCCCGACTCGATGACAAAAGACATTGTAATTACGCTGGACCAATCTGAGCTCTTGTTTCCCTTTCATTAATGCAAGCCGACAGAAATAGGTACATATTGGAAAAGGTCACGTCTTGGATGAATGTCACAATGGCGATGTGCAAGTGGTGCGGGTGACTGGCACTCGTCATCGGAACACTTTGATGATGGGCCTTTGTTGTTAACCGGCAGAATTAGGTACAAACTGGGAAAGCCCATTCACAAAGGTCGCAGTACGTCTTTGATTAATGGCACAATGGCGATGTGCAAGTGGCTCGGGTGACTGGTACGCATCTTTGCAACACTGCGATGACAGGCCTAACCGCAGCGCGAGATTAACTTGACTGTGCGCCGGCAAACCGATTAGCACCTCCATCTGAATACATCTACGTCGGCAACATGAAACTACTCACACAAGACGGACACCTGCTGATTACTAATACATTGTACTGCTTTCAAATTGAACGGAAAAAAACGTGAGCCAGGATTACCTTTCGTTATAAATGGGTCGCTAACAATGCATTTTTACGCAACCGGGTCGCCAAAACCTTTCGCTTTAACAGGAATTTCGTACTGTCCGTTTTCGTCTTAAGCGAAATTTTCCCCATAGACTTGTGCACAATGGTATTTGTTTGTAATAACCGGAATTTCGTTCTAGCCGTTTTCGCTATAACGGGAGCCAACTGTAGCAGTAATTTCCAAAAATGTGTCTTTTGTAAATGGTCTTCTTTTATTGTTTTCTTCAAAATGACAGCTTGCCAAAAAGAAGGGAGTTTAGTGCCGTTACTATCTTTAAACCAAGTATGCTTTCCAACAATAATTACGTCAGTTACTTTTTGGATAGCTGCAAATGATGGACTGAGCTTTAAGAATGGGTTATGGGTCACTAATTAGCCGTGCGGTCAGGAATTATTATGTTTCTGTTTAAGTACAACTCTAGTATGTACCTTTTCTGTAATAACACACTGTCCCACATGTGCTTTTTCTTACTAAAACATTAGGTTACAAAATTCTACACCCCCCTTCACAAATTAACACCAAAAAAATGTGAAAAATGCTTGAAATAGTCTGAAATACGTACAAATCTTCAAGTCGAGTTCATTCTTAATAGTCAAGCCAAACTCAGCCCCAGTCTTGGGTTTGCCGATGAGCTTATTCCAGTGGATGGAGGGACTGGCCAACTTGAATTCAATTCCTTCCCAGAATCCTCGCCTCACGCGATGTCTAGAGGGCACACTCACTGCAGTGGTTGCTACGTCTTGGGAGGAGTTGACGGCAGAATATCTAGAATGAAAATAACAATGGTATTTACAAATATCAGATAATAATATATAATAATGGATGGCTTGGAGGTGGATACAAGAATATATTGCACGAGCTATAACAATATTGCACAAGTCGACGACGAGTGCAATATTGTCATAGCGAGTGCAATAAATTATAACACCTGCGTAGATCATTGTCATTTGATTGGAGGATTGTAGGTCATGCGGCATTTATTAATCAAACCACTGCACGGCCTACGTCATAGACCGAGCATTTTTGGTTCCATTCATGGTGCATTTTCGTCCCACCCCTTTTGATCTATTGCACGCTAGATCACATCATGCCTTTTATACAGCAGTACAAAACGCCCTCCATTGACAAGGCACTACCATTCAAGCACAATGGCAGATGTTCCAAACAATTTTGTGTTGTAAGATGGAATTTTGCGTCTGGGTGATATAAGTTAAATTAGGTTTTGCCCTTCACCGACGTTTAAACACTGTATACTCACAACACTGAGTGTACAGTGTTTAAACGTCCGTGAAGGGCAAAACCTAATTTAATTTTGTGTTGCTTAACGACAAAGATATTGTGGAATTAATTCATGCCTCTGACACTACAAATACAAATTTAGAAACAAATTAAACTTGCTGTTCGCGAACTAGAATCTTATGCGAAGTATGCTGGTACTTCTTTGGAAGTAGTAGAAGCTTTAATACAGCCATGCAGAACTTGACCAGTTTGTATAGTGATTTTATGGCGGTCTAAGGAGAGACGACAGAGCCTTTTTATACAAAGAAGTCCATACAAGCAATCCGTTATGGGCTTCATCGCCACTTTCTCTCGACAAAGGATTTGGACGTAACAAAAACTGATACTTTTAAAGAGAGCAACAGGGTCTGCAAGACCATGATGGGTCAGCTGAAGCAGGAGGGGGCTGTAAGTGGAGAAGATATGGCAAAGATCTTAGATTCACTCAACATAACAACTCCTGACGGCCTTCATTTTGATATCATGATCTATTTTCCAAATTGAGCAGAGAAAATCTCCGCAATATGAAGGCTTCTGACTTTGTTCTTCATGTTGATGAACAAAACCTCTGTTACATTGTTCATCATGATACACTCACCAAATCCAGACATGAAAACGAATATGAAGGCTTCAGCGGCCATATGTATGAGATACCAGGGTATCTCAGTTGTTGGCACCTTCTGAAAGTAAGCCTTCATTTTCACAGTGTTTTATTGTTCAAATCGTCACCGTTTTGACGAAGTGACACATCTGTCCGAAACTGAGATTTTCTGAAATCTGAGATTTTTGGGATATTCTATAATATTATGATGTCCTCTACATGATTAGCAAATTTCGAGACACAACATTGCATCGTTCATTAATTACGCTAATTGCACAAAGTGTTGAAAGTGCTACACACTACGTTTTTCGTTTTGACGAAGTGACGGATCTCTATGTGTCACCTAGTCTCATTGATCTTACACGTGTGCTATATTTAGAAATATGAAGCCTCCACGATTTGCATTTTGATGAAGTGACGCATCTGCATTCTAAAATGTATAAACTTAAATACGCGCACGCGCTGTGTACAAACATATGCCAAATTTTTGTGAAGAAGTAGATTTTCCATTTTGACGAAGTAACGGATATCTTTAGTAATTAATATTTTCTAATTAAACACGATTTTGTGAGCAGAGAGAATTGTTTTTGGCTATTTAACTCCTGGGCTATTGTCTCAGTTATATATTTTTCAATTCTGGGGGAGAAATGTACACAAAAATGGAAATTGAAAAATCCACCAACTTCAAACGCAATTTTCTCAAAACTCAGTTTTGCATCTGTGTGCACATATGTGTCACTTCGTTAAAACGGTGACGAAATGTGGGCGTAACAGTATTCCTACTCACTCTTCTGGGGTGACAAACTTGGAGATATTTTGGTCACCGCCCATCGGGTGATTCTTGTAAAGCAAGGATGCCTCATATCTGACATGCTCATTCTCATCTTCATCTAAGGCTGACTTCAGCAGAATCCCTGCTGCCTGTGAAGATAGGACCAGGAGACAATTTCATTGCGCTACTTGAACACAGAAACTCACTTAGCACAGCATCCCTAACAGTCCTGAATCCTCCAATTTCAATACAATTTTGCACACCCCCCCCTAGGGAGTTAGGGTTAAGCCAACAAACAGGTCATCACCTGAAATGTCATACGAAGACCCGATACAGAAGCGCCCACTGATTGGTCAAAATCTAGAGGTCAAGATAAAAACTCAGAAAAATGTAAGTTTTTAATGTAAAGCTGTGTGAGCATTTATATTTCACTCTTGAAATGATCTTTTCAACTAGAAGTGTGCAATCTGGGCCAAAGTGTCCCAAGAACACATTGCAAAAGTTGGCCCCCTGAGCAACAATTCTGGATATATAATGTTAGGTTAGACATAACAGGGTATACAGTGAAACGCCACTATATCGAACATCGCAGGATCCACAGAAATTGTTCATAATAGCGATCGTTCGGTATAGCGATTTTAAGCTGCTGGTGCTCCGGTGCTCACTTTCAACAAATAGCGCCCTTCAGAACTTCACCCTGCATGCCTGGGCTACTGAAAGATGACTTTGAAAATGTGCCAACTATTGAATTATGTAATTACACAGGTTTTGAGCTTACTACCAACAGCAATGGTGGCTTTTCCTTTCTCTTCCTTGGGAAAATAATAGCCACTTGTCACTCTTATGTTAACAATTTTCAACAACAATGTTTGGTACATTTTGTAGACAAAAATCGGGAGCCAAGGATGATGTTCAGCATTGCCGAATGTTCGGTATAGCGTTGTTCGGTATGGGGCCCGTTCCACTGTATACAGTCTGGTCATTCTACAGGATAAACATTTTGTTCACCGTATCATGATGGTAGTCCCTCATGGAGTGTAAGCCAGCCCTTTTCAGCAGTGGATGAGTAGCGCTGTGGTTGGTATAGCTCTGGATGTGGGGGAAGGAGCAATGCAGCCCAGCATTGCCCAGAGCTTCAATTAATGCCACCGTGTCATGGTGAAACTCCTCTTGGTCATCCTCAGTCAGAGACGTCAAGGTCTTCTCATAGGCCCAGGGATCTGAGGTCAGAAATGAAAAATGAGTAGTTTATCATTATTAGGTTTTTGCCCTTCACCGACGTATAAACACAGTATACTCAGCGTGTTACTTCCCAAGTGAAAGTTGGAAAAATCATTCAGGAGGGACTGGAACCCACGACCTCCTGCTTTCTAGTACAGACGTCTTACCACTAGACCACCGGTCTTGCTGGATCAGTTGGTTAGTTCGAATCTGATGTACATGTAGCAGTGGGTACTGCATTTAATTATCATAAGATGGAATTTGCGTCGGGGTGATGTAAATCAATATTAGGTTTTGCCCTTCACCAACATATAAACACTGTATACTCAGTGTGTTACCTCCCCAGTGAAAGTTGGAAAAATCACTTGGGAGAGACTCGAACCCACGACCTCCTGCTTTCTAAATAGTTTAGTTTAACAGTAAACCCTGAGGGTATTTTGTGAACATGTTGGGCCCAACACTACAACCTGCAACACTTGCCAAAATGAGCAGCCGGGCCGGTCTAACAAATTACAACAGGTCTAAGTTTTTAAGCCAAACTGTAGAGTCTATAGTCACTAGATACATCAGGATACATGGTGATAATGTTTGCTGACTCACTATGTGATAATAGATCATGTTTCAGTAAACTCAAAATGTAATTTTCCAGCATATTCTTGGTTTGACAGGTTTCCACATCTTTTCTAAAGAAAATGTTGACCAGTGACCAAGACATTTCCAAAAAGTCTGGAACAAATAAAAATACCTTTAAAGGGAAAATACAACATTTGCAAACATCAAAAAATAAAACTACCAAATCATTTTGAAATACCTTGCTGGACTGTTAGTGAATGACAGTGTAAAGCATCCTGTAAAATCATGGCACCTGGTATACTGTCATTTTCAAGAAAAGTGGTATTTTTGTATCAATTTCCAATGCTGGTCGGCTGACCAGCATTGGAAAAAAATGGCTTTTTTTCAAATACTGGCCCCAATTGACCATCGCACTTGTTTGCAATCGATTACACACCTATGAACGGGTACAAGCCAGCTAGACTGGTTCCCTGACCTTACAATTCCCCAATGTATGTAAACTGCTCTTTTTCTTCTTATATGGAGTCAGGGAACCAGACTACAGGAAAATGATTGTTTTTCTTGGTTTTTATAGCATTTTGGAACCCAAAACCTCAAAAAAGTCAGTGTAACTATATTTGCTATATATTTCCAACCCCCCAATTCCATCCATTTCTGAAAATTACAGCAAAAGCAAATGATGTATATTCCCTTTAAAAGTGAGATTATCATTGGAAATGTGGTTTCTGGTAAGGAACAGCAAATTACCTACAGATAATGTCAAATCGCCAACTGAACAAGTCCAAATATTTTAATATTCACATACAAAGTAACTGCCTGTTGAAGTTTCTCAACCACAATTAAACCCTCACTCCCTCGGCATTTTTGCTAGGATGCAACCTCCAAAACCCTCCGTTATTTCTTCATTGTGGTCCTCGTCTGGAGGGGTGACCACTGCCTCAATCCTGCAAAATCCTATGGCAATCATTGTCAATATATTGAGGCAGAGCCAGCGATTTTCTGGAGCTAGTGCAGAGGATTTCAGGTATAATCTAGGGCTAAATTTATGCACAGCTGAGCAGAAACAACACAAGGTCCAGCCCAACACCTTGACACAGTGCATGCTCCCAAATCAGTTACACACTTTTGCCATATAACCTCAATCCTGCAAAATGATCCAAATTCCTCCATTTTGCAAACAGGATTTTGGAGCATTTGGGAAGGTTAGGGTTAAAGAAATGTGTTTGTAACTGACCGTGCACACCAAGTTTATCTTCAATCTTGCGGACAATGAACTCTGCTTGAGATTTGTATCCAGCCTTCCATCGGTGACCAGCCAAGGCACCGAGTACCAGCACAGCAACCCTCTGTATCTCAGGGTCTTTTAGGGATTCTGTAACAAAAAGATTTACAATAATGGTTCTTTCAATGAGGATCAGCCAGTATGGATCAAAGGATATGACAGTCCACAAAAATTGTATATTATTCAATGTTGTAGTACTCGTACTCGGTACTCGTACTCGAGTACTTTTTGGAGTACTCGTACTCACACTCGAATATCAAAGTGCTCGTACTCGCTATGACGGTACTCGTACTCGAGCAGCAAAGCACTTGTACTTGACATGTCGAAATTGTACTCGATCATCCAAGTACTCGTACTCGAATAGCAGTACTCAGGGGAAATAGTGTAGCTATACCACAGACTTATTTTATCGATACTTTCAGTTTGAAATGGTTGATAGGCTTGTGGAGAAATCGAAGCTTCTTGAGTTTCCTCTGTGCACGTCTGGACAAACACATTTAACAGCTAGCACTGAGTGGGTCTGTATATCGGTTTGACTGGGCCCAGTTATGCACAATGAACCATTTGCCGTATGGCCGTATTCAGATATACAAGTACTTGTACTCGTACCCGTACTCGTAAGTACATGTACAGTACTCGTCCTCGTCCTCGTACTCGTAAGTACAAGTACTCGTGCTCAGTTTAGTAAGTGCACCTTTTTTTCTTTAAAAGCATTGTGCCCAGTAGAGATGGGGCTACTGGGATTACAAACAAATTAAACCACTGGATTATCTGGGTTAAAATGCAGTTTCATTTTGTTTGTCTTTCAAGAAAGGAAAGATTCCAAACCTTACCAGGGAATGTTTGAGGATGAAAGGCGATGTCTTCTACAGTCTCTAGGTAATGCTGAAAACAAATTATCAAAAATGAGAATGGATTACGATTAATTTTGGACACTATCATCATTCAGAGATGCCACAGGGTCTGCTTGAAAAAAACGGGAACTTGGTCTGCTTGAAAAAAACGGAACAGCTGCTTGGAAAAAACAGAACATATTTTTTTGTAAAAAAGCCACTCCGACACAAAGTCCCCGTTGTCATCTTTATCTTGTAGCTAAGCCCAGTTACATTTATGTTTTGTTTTTGCTTCTATGTTCTTTAAGCTGTCGGTTCGTTCAATCACTTTGCATTTTTCCATACTCCTATTATTTAGTTCTGCCTACCCGAATTTCCAATGTACTAATATTTGACACAAAACATGCACGATTCCACAACACTGTCGGTGTACATGACCTTTGCACTACGCGATGCGCGCAACGAAAACATGGTTGGTACCCGGCGTCTTTTGTATTCACATATATCACTGCAATCGGAAACCACCGATACTCTGAAATGATAGACTTATTTACAGGCTGAACATGCTACGTGTGCTTAGCACGGTGAAGCATGCGCGAGGCGCCGTTGTATACTGCGTGCAAGTAGGCCGCCTGTATCGTATGCAGGCTCGACAACAACAAAAACTTGTTTTTAAGACTACTTCAATGAACAACGTGCTGTGCATACGTGTGCCTAAATAAACTAAACTCAAGAGTGCTAATGAGGTAAAAAAACAATGCACTTTTTCTTCTCTTTTTCCAGTTTATTTTGACAGCAGGAAAAAACAGACAGTTGGGAGATTTTTTTAAAAACTGGAAAAGCGGCATCTCTGATCATGTGGAAATTTCAATGCCATATAGACAGACAGCAATTAAATTCTAAGAAACAACTAGAAAGGAGTCTATACACTACCTCTGAAATAGTGTTTGTGAAGCCAGCAGAGGCAATGAGTAGTCTCTCTACCAGCTCCTTGTTTGGTTTTGGAGACAGGAGGATGAGATCAGTAAGGAGCGACTGGGAGGCATCAGTGTGCATCTCAGCAACTGCATCCAGCATGTTCAGCCTGTCCTGCTTGTCACGAACACGTCTGAGAAAAGAAATAGTTACAACCGCACAAAATCTTAGAATAGTGCAGGAGTAATGAAGCTGTGAACATACATCCTGTGACACTAAAGCGATAGTCTTAGGGCTTGCAATGTTGTAAACCATGTGCATAAAACGACCTGCTGGTACCGGAATTTAAAGCTATAGTCCATCATTTGCAGCTATCCCAAAAGCAACTGGCGTAATTATTGTTGAAAAGCATACCTGGTTGAAAGATAGTAAGGGGACTAAACTCCCTGTGAAATTATTCTTTCTGGGAAGCTGTCATTTTTAAGTAATCAACGAAAGAAGGCCTTTCCAACGGTGCTTCTTAAAATGCACCGTAGGAAATTTAAATTAGTAGTTCGTTTTGTTATTCGGTGAAGCGCGCGCAAGCATTGGCACGATGCACACGAGCGCGCGGTTGCTATGATTTGTCGGATCAGTGCGCGACATTGCGCAGCTGCAATCGGCTCAGTGAGAAGGTGTCTCAGACGCTGAATTCAGGCCCAATTCAAAACATGATTCCGCAACTTTTGATTTGAAATTGAGATCCTAGAATGCTGTTTTTCTCGGAATATACAGCTGAAGCTGAGCTGAAACTTCATCTGGTTAGTTGTTCAGTACCCTTCTTTAGATTTTTGTGCACTTTTGTTGCTTCAAACGAACAAAACGCACAAATTACAAATGATGGACTATATCTATTTAAGACTGTTTTTGAGTTGTGCTTGAAAATGGCTTGTCCCTCTTCTTCCCACACAAGTTCAACAATTAATTAAAATGAGAACACTACCTGGACATGATGTATTGCATACCTGGACAGTGGCAGCTGGTACATTGGAGACACAATCTCTGCCAGTTTCTGAGCGTCAGGCACCGAGTGTAAAGTTTGAACTAGCTTCTGGTAACAATGGGTCTGTTCATGGGATCCTGTGTGTGACAAAAGGTAAAGACAATCGCTTAAGGTTGGAAGAGATGTACTCCATATGGTTTATTTTTTACGCTTTCAATTCTTTTACTGTATCAGGGTAGGGTTTAATGGTTAGTGCAACATTTCTTTGGACACTAGACATTTACCTAGTCTTGCTTCAAAAGCTAGTAATCAATTGTGGATCACCTAATGCTGGCGCTGTGTACTGTTTGTTACGCAGTTTCTGCCCTCCCACATGAAATATTTGGAACCAACTAGCGTCTTGGGAATTCAGCATGGGAAGGGTAACTTTTTAACCAGTTCATGCCGGGATTATTTTAACAAGAACAGAACGAGGCGATGGATTACTTTTCACTCGACCTCAAGCCAGGTGGGTTGAAGCCATAACCCTCGAGCAGCACACCAATATATCCGGCGGGCGGGTCGCTGACAGATATTTCCGGCCTCGCTCCCTGCGTCATCCATTCCGAATACCGCAAAACCTTTGCGGGTACACACGTCATCCGGTGCGGACCGGTTAAAAAGAAACTCCTAGACTTTCCAAGGGAACCAATCAGCGACCTCAAAATGAGTCACATGTGTATTACACTGTACAGTGCAATAGCACTCCATTATCGATAACCTAACGTCTTGGATAAAGACTGACATTTGCCAATCATTTGACCATATTTGTCTCAATAATCTCCATTGAATTGCAGGCTACATGTCATGCACCTATCACAGTTTATTTTTCCCTAACAGTTTTTGTGTCTTATTTTTGCCTCTGTATCATACCTTTCATAGGTGCTGTCCTCATGCATGTCAAGTTGCCAGCAATCTCTTCCTTCAAGGATGCCATTTCAAAGTTCAGATGGTCATCTTGCGGCTAGCATCAGAGTGAAAATGAAATATACAGCTCAGTAAGGTCTAATTCATGTAAGGATACAGAAGAAATAACAAATAAGCCACCTCTCATCCATATTCTGTGTGTGTTTCAAAGACTTGTACAATGAAGTGCTCTTCAAGTTTCTTCCCCCATACTACCATAATTGTGAAACAACTTGCAAAGATCTTGCTATTTCCCTTCTTATAAGTTATCACAGTTTTAACGTAACATCAACAGATTCCTTTTCTCAATTAAAACTCTTTATATATTGTTAGTATTGTCAACATGTGGTAGCCACTGGCTGTGTGGTTGGAGATTTCCATTACAAAAAAGCTTACTAATAACCTGATCTCATCAAATTCTAATTCTTAGTTAGTAGCTCTAATCAGTATGTGGGGTATTGCTTACATTTGTACATCGGTGTGTACGCATTCATCCATACATCCCAGGTTTGTGACCAAAAGTGTGATTGCTGATGCAACTAATTAAATACTGGTCATTATCAGCATCCAGACTCCAACCACGGATCCTAGACACCAGGATAAACGACTCGGCCCAACTCCTGGTTAGACGCGTGATAACGGCCTGTACTGGTGGCAAATACCATGAATACTTTTCAACAAAGACCACTGCGCGCGGTAGCTTTCAGATTTGCAAGGCTTTTCGCCCGATCTGGCCTCGAAGTCTGTCAAGCCAGCGAATTATACTTTTGAATGTTCATGAGTCTACGCTTTTGGTCTTTATTATTGAATTCTGATAAGTGATGACTACATAGCCATGGTAATGCCGAGCACAATGTCTTTAGCTTTAAGATGAACAATGAAATGTCGCTTTTGTTTCATTGGTTCGGCATCACATCTCTCTAAACCTTTTTAATAAAAGCCTCATTAAAAACGAAATTTTGGTAAACGGTGTTCTCCTCGACATTTGACGTTTATTTCCCGGGTAAATACTTCATCTATGACGACAAAAACTGCACAATACCATCTGTTATATCCTGAAGTATTTATTTCTTGAATAATTTCGAACATTTATATCTTAAATAAGAAGTAGTTTTGCTTACAGTTTTATGAATATTTCCATTTTAGATGTCATGCAAAAACCCAACACAATGGCACATCTGGAAAATTTGCGATTACGCGCCAACGGGTATTAATGCCCGTCATTACGCGGCTAACCAATTAAGGCAAGTCCGCTCAGTGCATTTTGTACTGGAGCTCAGAACAGTTGTTTATCCTGGTGTCTAAGATTCGTGCTCCAACCGGTCTTAAACAAAGTGTTTAATACCGGCCAAGTACATTTGTTTCCCATTCATAAATACCTTTTTGGTCAAATAATCAAAATGTCTCGGTCCAATTAAAACTAGTCCCAAACCAGTCAAAAATTATACATTTCCAAGGATTTTGTTCAACAATTTTACCTCATGTTTTTCAGGACACCCCTCTAGCAATATTATGGTATGTCCAGTCTCGCGTGAGTCATAGACAACTCCTTATATGGAGATTGGGACACGCGTCGCGCATACTGCGCGATGTGGCGCACAATGCAGCTGTGCCGCACAACGCAGCTGTGCCAGTGTATTGTGAATTTAGGACTATGAGATTCTGACTCATCGGTAGTACTGCGCATGCCTACGTGTGCATTGTGAACGTTCAACCAATAAAACAGTAACTAAAAGGCACCGGATTTCAAAGGAGTCAAAAGTTCATGAAGTGTTCAAGACAAGCCCGCCGGGCTTTATCAACCATTTAAAACCAGCCTCGTGTCGGGCTCTCGACCAATAGGAATGGGTAAACTGTCTTAGGTTTTTATGAATGGTGAATAAAGAGCATGTGAAAATGACATAAGAAAGATAATTAAATTGAGTTCATAGCAGTGTTGTAGTACTTGTACTCGGTACTCAGACTTGAGTACTACTCGAGTACTTTTTTTTTAGTACTCGTACTCGTACTCGAATGTCAAAGTACTCGTACTTGAAATGACGGTACTCGTACTCGGGCAGCAAAGTTCTCGTACTCGACATGTCGAAATTGTACTCGATCATTAAAGTACTCGTACTCGAATAGCAGTACTCGGGGAAAAAATGTTATAGCTTCACTTACCATGGCCTTATTTTATCGATTCTTTCTGTTGGAAATTGTTGATTGGCTTGTTGAGAAATCGAGATTTCCTGATTTTCCTCTGTACAAGTCCGGACAAACACATTTAACAGCTAGCTGTGAGTGGGTCCGTATATCGGTCGACTGGGCCTGGGCCAATTCGCACAATGAACCATTGCCCTATGACCGTATTCGGAAATGCAAGTACTCGTACTCGTACTCGTACTCGGAGATCCGTTCTTGTACTCGGAGGTACAAATACTCATACTCTTACTTGGCAACCTAAGTACTCGGCAGTACTCGGTACTCGGAAAAAAGTACTCGACTACAACACTGGTTCATAGTACCTTCCTGAAGTGAATGGAGTCAGTGACAATATCCTCGTCATCAGGTGGTCCAGTAGGTGACTGGTAGTATGACTCTCCAACAAAGGTCAGCTGTCCTTCAGAAACAGTCTGCATCTCAGGAAACTCTGATATGTCATTCAAACAATAAAAATCAATTAATATCCTGTGTGTGGTTTGAATTGTAGTGACAAGCCATATCTCAATACGACACACACGTATGTCAAAGACTAACCAACACACCTTCTCACATGTCTCAAGCCCATGAAGGGAATGTACAACCCTGTAGCCAGCGTTCCCATAAGCTCAACAATGACCAGTCATTACAAGTATGTTGGGCAACAAACTAATTTGGGACTGAGAAACATTTCTGACAACTTTTGTTTGAAAATACACCATGATGTATGTCATTTTGGTGCGCTGAATACGCTGCGCTGTGTCGAGATGTCACTTTTGGTGGACTGTTTACTGATGGATCTTTTCATCCTTTTTTTGTCAAATTTAAAAACAGTCCACCAAAACTGATATCTTGTAGCACAGCGTATTCAGCGCACCAAAATGACATACATCATGATGTACATGTACTGTTTCGTGATGCAAAGCATTCAATCTCCCCTCCATCCCAAATGGTCGAGCCGAATGTAGAGTTGACCTGCTGAGGTCACGCGAAGAACAGCGCACGCGCAATGTACGTAAGCACATGAACATGACCACTGTATTCGGCGGATCGGCAACGCGAGGCTTGTGAGTAAAAAACTCAGATTTTCCACCCAAAAAATTGTCCCATGATCCAAATGTCAATCGTTCTAAAACATTTCAGAGTTATAGATCAACCAGCTCAACTTTTTGGGTGGATTTGTGTTTCAGAAAGTGGAATTTCAGACAAAGGTATTTTGTCTATCATCAGACCAAGGTATTTTGTCTATCAAAGGGCATTTCCAAAAGCCACAGCGTGCTGACCGACCCCGAAAAATCACCATGCTAGAAGGCTGACGGAGAGAAGCCTTCTAATTCTAGAAGTAAACATATTCCAAACATTATTTACCAATATCATCTCCTGCTTGTTCCTCCCCATAATGCCGATGCTGAAATCTGTGTTAGGGTCAGGAATGATAAAATATGAGAAAAAGCAATCAGTCTCCTTGATCATGTTGTCTGTTGATCAGAACTATCTGAACGGGGGTCAGACAAGTCGACCGTTGAGACAACTCGACTCGGGACAAGTCGACCGTTGAGACAACTCGACCGTTGAGACAAGTCGACCGTATGTGCGATAAATGGAAAGACAAGTCGACCGTTCAGACAAGTCGACTCGCATGTTTTGGAACCTAGTTTTGGGTATAGTACCGGTTTTTTTTACAGCGGCTGATCGCCGTTTGGGAGTGATGACATGATAACCATGATATAACACTAACAGAGCCGATATAGCGCAGCGTCGGATTGTCCATGCACATCGCCATTCGTTTTTTCCGGACCTGTGTGCGCATTTGCCGGTCAACTTGTCCGTACCGTGCACGGTGCCAGCCCTGTGCGCCCACTTTATCCCATCCCCGGTCGGTCATCGTGGCCGTACCGTGCCGCATGGTGACATCGTTTGTGCTGGGCCTGTGCGCCCACTTGCCGCGCCGGTCGACGTGCCCGCGTGCCGGGCCGGGCCTGGTCCTCGCGGGCGGGGCGCACCAGCCCGACGGCCACCGGATGGGAGCGCCCACTGTACATCGAGTATGCTCGCGCCGCGCCAGTGATTGGTCCTGCCATGCATTTTTTTCTGCTCCGCGTTTACATTTCCATTAAGTCGAGCTGTCTCAACGGTCGAGTTGTCCTGCGTCGAGTTGTCTCAATGGTCGACTTGTCTCAACGGTCGAGTTGTCTCAACGGTCGACTTGTCCCGAGTCAAGTTGTCTCAACGGTCGACTTGTCCGACATTCATCTCAACACATAGATTTAGGCCTATCACTATCAGTAATAATAATATGACAAATTTACTATTACTATTAGAAAATCCTAGTCGTATTACTCAAAGTCTAGGGCCCGTCTACAGGACTAAACGTCTGTATTCAAGGCCCTACACATAGCTAAATTCCGTGCTGAAACTCTGTGCTGAAGCACAGACAGCGTTTAGGTTTAGTCCAGTGCGTAACATGCTAGCCCGACTGCGTCTGGCCGTACAGTACTATCGCAAGCTCTGTAGTACGGCCAGACGCCAGATGCTTCCACAGAGACTGAATATTTTTGGCCGCTGATGTAGCGATTTTGCTACATCTTTTGATCGAGATTATCTTTTCATCCAGGACACAAATTTCCAAAGTTAAGGTTCTTAGTCGTAGAGCAACTCATACCTTTTCGAAAAAATGTTCTTTGGTCTCAATATTTTCATCCATCTGGCCACAAGACGAATTTCAGTCATCATCTTCCACAAATATCGTTCCGAAAATGCTCCCCATGCGATTTCAAAATGGCGGCCGCGCTGTAATGTATGCATTATGCGAGCGCGCTTGGGCAAGATAATGAATATGCATTATTTAGTACATGACCTCGTGTTTGTATGGCCAGCCGCGCCGAGTGTCCGACAAATGTCATAAACTATGATGCATATTCATTATCTTGCCCAAGCGCGCTCGCATAATGCATACATTATAGCGCGGCCGCCATTTTGAAATCGCATGGGGAGCATTTTCGGAACGATTTTTGTGGAAGATGATGACTGAAATTCGTCTTGTGGCCAGATGGATGAAAATATTGAGACCAAAGAACGTTTTTTCGAAGAAAGTGGATATTTTGCCGGAGGTAATGACGGCAAACTAACGTTTACTAAAGGTTTGCCGGCGGCAATCCATATCAACAGAGGGCGCTGTACTCTATAAGATAGCTCTGAATTATAAGATGTATTAAATTCCCATCAAAGGTTGTGTAGCACGTTTGGTGCAGTGGTTAAGCAGAAGCTCTAGTGAGCAGGGTGTCTCGAGTTCGAATCCGACCGCACCACATTTTTAAGGTTTTTTTTCCCATCCCCAAATAAATAAGAATATTTTTCTTTTATTATTTTAATATGTCTCAAACATTTTATTGCAGAGTATTACATTTTCTTTTTCAGATTTGTGGCTCTGGAGGATTTTTTTTAAAAGGGAAATAAAGTCCGAAATTATAAAATGGTCTGAATCCCATCTTGTGAATACGAGGTTACAACGATAATATTGGCATGGAGCCAGACTAAAATTTGTCAGCGGAAAATGTTGAAGTACAAAAAAACAGTAACTGCGCATGTTCAGTGCATATCCGGCAAACTAACGTTTACTGTAGTCCGAGTCACGTTTGTAAACACATACATATGTGCATTTCGGACTGTAAAAGGGAATCAGGAACCAGCTTGAACTGGTATCCGCCATAAAAGCTGTGCTAGTTCCTGACTCCCTATTATCGTTTGAAATGCACATGTGTTTACAAACGTGATCCAGTCTCCTCATTATCATAATCGATGCATCGCGCGCGCTCGGTAACGGAATCGCACTCGGGATACAGGGACCATCGAATGTACGCTGGGCATGTAGAAGAAATCGCGTCGTTCAAACATTAAACACGATCGGGAATTTAACGTGTTCAAGATCGCGAGGGGAGCTCTCCGAATGAACGGAAAATTTCACTTTTTTTCCGGATCGTAAGTAAACTTCAGTACAACCATCTTAATTATCGATGTCTACTTGTACCTCAGGTGGCATATCTAGTAATTTGGAGGCCGTTTTGAAGGTGAAATCTGATGTTTTTTGTTGGAAAATGTTGGTTTGGGACAGTGACAGGATGCGGTTGTCCAGGTCGCGGCATAAGCTTGGACCCCACTATCGCCAGACCATGTTCAAATGTTTAAAAAAGGCGATAAGTTGGGTCCAAGTTACTCGGACTACTCTACGACTAAGTCAAGAACCTTAACTTTGGAAATTTGTGTCCTGGATGAAAAGATAATCTCGATCAAAAGATGTAGCAAAATCGCTACATCAGCGGCCAAAAAAATTCAGTCTCTGTGGAAGCGTCGGGCGTCTGGCCGTAGTACAGAGCTTGCGATAGTACTGTACGGCCAGACGCAGTCGGGCTAGTAGTAACATGCATGATGGAGCCGGGCTACTGTACACGACCCTGTACACCACGTACATTCTGACAGCAGTCATAGAGCAAGGCCACTAGGGCCTACTGACCTTTTGTGATGAGGGTGAGGAAGTAATATCTTTCCCGTTTACGCAGAATGAAGCACATGTCCAATTTAGTTCAATCATGACATAGTTTAATATCATCGTAACCGATCCCTTGACACAACAAGCATGACAAAACTACGTTGTTTTGATCAACAAGCATGCAGTGTGTCAACTTCAAAGTTTTCCGCTATTAAGTTCCACACCTAGACGCTTACGTATAATTTATTCACGTGGCGAATTCAGGAGCCAGACTAGACTAAACACCTTTCTTTATTAGAGGGCGGCAAACTATTTTATCGGTGGCTGGCTGATGATACCGTCGGGAAACACAGGTCACCAATCGTTTGATCTGGATGTGGATCAGTGCTTTGGTTAAAAAATGATACTTATGAAAGGTTATCCATTTCTTTCGCGAAATTCTTTGAAATTACGAGATAAAAGTAGGCCCTACATAAAAGGACATTGCGCGAAATTTTCAAATCTGTATGAATGCCGAAGTGATTATTTATTTATGTATTTTTGGCAAATACAAACAAACAGTATACATTTACAGTGGTACTGACATACACAAATGAACGTATTACATGTAAATTTAAATACAAAGCCAAGGGTGACCCATAAAGCTGTTTATAAAAAGGCTTGTTTCCATCGGGGTCCTTAAAAACACTAACACAAACAAACATACAAGTACATTATAAAAAGTTCAATTACACAGAAAATAGCAAAGAGTGATCATTAAAACAATGATCAGTAAAAACTCATCTGCTTAAAAAAATTACTGAGAAGAGAGATGTTCCTTCACTGCCTTTTTCAATTGAGGATGATTGTTGGAACATTTGATGCTGTTGGGAAGTAATTCCTTTCATGAATTCCGGTATAAATGTACTGCACACCGGCTCTTTTATTCTTGGAACAACAAAATTGGTGGAACTGCCTAGAATAATTATGCATAGCTGAAACCTTCCCAAATTTATGACAAAGGCAGTCAGGTGCCATTTCATGAACAAATGATTCAGTTTCACAAGACCCCCTTGATGTTTTTCTTAATCATTTCCTAAACATTAATTGGATAAAGTTTTGTAAACCCTCATAATGATCGAAATTGAATTATTCAGTTTCTTTAAATACCCTTCCTATAAAAGAATAACGAAAGAAAAATCGAAAATGGCGTCCCAAATACTAATAGAAATGGAATGTTAGTGAGCAGGAAATGGTGAATATAAACATCCTACCCTGGTGCTGATTCCCTCGGAGCATCAAAGTGGTCGAGTATCTTGACCATGGATGGGAGCTGCATAGCTGGGTGATAGTGAATCTCCTAAATGTACAATAATAGACAATGCATGATGCTAGTTGGGCTTCCAATGAAAGTGGGCTTCTTAGATAACCCTTCTCTACCAGTTCAACATTTGTTTTTGCTGACGAATCTTCTTTTTCAAACATTACTTCTTTCTGCTTTACTATATTTTCTGTTGTTATTTTGTTACGTGGACGATCAATATCTTCCAGCTATATTGCATCATGTGAAACATAATTTGTGAACATTTTGTATTCAATTTTTAAAAACAAGTTATTTTGTGTTTTGGGGGAGAAACGTCAACAAACTAGCCCCCCCCCCCCCCCCCCCCCAGGTACGAGTGAGTACATGTACCGTGTCTTATATACATGTGTACCTTTTGGTGTTTGGATTTGCCGTAAGGTATTGGATGAGTCCGTCTAGTCTTAGTGAAGACAATAATGCCATCGTTGCCAGGAGCCATCTGAGCCGTGTAGGACGACTCGTGCTGACCCTCATGACCTGTCTCATTGCAGTCGTAGCTCCAGTAGCTTCCCAACAGCTGTTTATTTAATTGATGAAACTGAATTGGTTTGAAAGAATGTGCTTGCTGTCAACAAACATATTTGACGTATTTAGGTGTAGCTATTGTCATGGGTGTCGCGAAGGGGGCAAGGGGCCGGTGCTTGTCCCCCCCCCCCCCCCCCCGACAAGCAGAAAAAAAAGAAAGAAAGAAAAAGAGGCGCGAAATCATATTGTTGTTAATTTAATTGGTTGGGAGGGGGATGTCCCTGCCCACCCTTCAAAAAAATGATCAATCAGGAAAATGCTGGAAAATATAGGGATTTTTGGGGAAAAGTTTCTTTGCCCCCTCCAGAAAAGTTCTTGGCGACGCCCATGGCTATTATTGATTAAAAAACCCTTATTTTGTGTGTGTTTCCATATCTCTGTCAAGGGTTCCCTTACACACTTTTCAGTGAATATGGAGGTATGGAAAGGGTATGGGGCAGGGAAAACTTACATTTTGTTTATTAATATTTTTCTTCAGGAAACGAAAGTGCCAGCACCGAAAAAAGAAATGTTAGTATTGTATATGAGTTTGGGGGCAGCACCAGAGTTGTTTACATGATCATGATTCGGTGTAGCGTACATATCCGACTCCATAAAATATGGATTCATTGGTAGTATTTCGCATGCGTAAGTATGATAATAGCCCATTTATAGGTCTATATATATGGGAAAGTGACTTGTCACGTGTTAAGGATCAACCAATAATTGGGAAAAGGATTCCGATTTTCATAGGAGTCGGATTTTCATATGACACCGGAATGCAACAAGTCCAACTGATTATAACTGGCATATAAGTTTACATGTTTTCTTCAATTTCTCTCATATACCTTGTCTTGTGGAGGATGTTGCAGGTTAGCTGCCAACAGGCTGACCAGACCTTTCTTGACACCTATCACGTGATCATCCTGGTCACGTGGGAAGTATATCTGGCCAATCGCTCCATTCTCGCTGATGTCAAATGAAAACCTATACAAGAGAGTTTAGATGCACGCAATAAACGATTTTAGCCACGCCCTCCCCAATATTGTAAACCGGACGAGTACGTTACAGCAGCAATCAAATTAATTGCAATTGTAGTGCGTTCATTGCACTCTTCCAACGGTTCTTCGCGTTGGTTTAGAGATTTGCATTTGGTCTTTGAATTATTTCTGTAGGTGCGCAAAAGCGATTATGTTTCTGACAAACTGATGTACGACGGAACTGCGTCAATTATACTCTTTTGTTATACTTTCGAACCCAATTCGTTGAGTGTAGCGCGCTATTGAAATAGGGAACTTTTCTATGCCTGTTTTGCAACCAAACTTTGAAAACTCGAAACAGAAATTCAACTTGTGCTCGTTTTGTTTATTTCCGTAGGCCTATGTTTATTCATCTAAGTTTACACGGTTTACACGGGCGTATGACCCCCTCCATGGCTTGCCTCTTCATGGGTGACCTCGAAGAACGCATTCTTGCCTCGACCCATATGTCGCCCTTGGATCTGGTGGAGTTATATTGATGATGTTTTTTTTATCTGGACCAGTGATGAGGACAGTCTCTTGACCTTCACTAACCACATCAATTCCTTCCACAGAACCATCAAATTCACATCGGAGTTATCGGCTCACCAAACCCACTTTCTGGATGTCACCGTCCGCAAGCAAGGCTTGCCACTGACCTGTATTCCAAACCCACAGACACCCACCAGCACCTCCACTCCTCCAGCTGTCACCCCAGGCACTGCAAAACTGGCATAGCGTTTAGCCAGGCACTCAGACTCAGAAGAATTTGTTCTAATGATTCCGATTTCTCCCGCCATACACAGATACTGAGGAACAACTTGGTGGCCAGGGGTCACAGCTCTCGCCAAGTTCATCGTGCCATTGCCAGAGCTAAAGCTATCCCCAGAAATCTAGCTCTCACGGGAAAAGCCCCTGATGCCATGGCCAAACCCATGATTCCCTTGGTTACCACGTTTCACCCCAATCTCCCTCCCCTTCGCAAAATCACTAATGACAATCATCATATCCTCCATACTTCAGATCGCCTTGCCCGCGCCATCCCCAACGGCCCCACATTGGCTTACAGGCGTCCTCGAAGTCTACGGGACTTGATTGTTCGAGCTGAAGTCCCATCCTTAGATGCATCCCCTCCCACCCAGCATGGTACTTTCAAGTGCAGTTCCAGATGTGTTGTCTGCCAGATTCATATCCAGGAGTCTGACTCCTTCTCTGGCCACTCTTCTGTCACTACCCACAGAACCATTGGTAACATCACTTGTAACACCTCTAATGTCATATATCTCATTTCTTGCAGGGTCGGTGGAGTGAAGTATGTAGGTGAGACTAAGAATACGCTCAAGAAGCGTTTCTATGCCCACCGGTCAACGGTCAACACCAAGAAACTAGACACCCCTGTTGGTCATCACTTCAACCTGCCTAACCACTCCATTTCTGATATGATTTTGCAGGGCATTGAATCTCTTGGCCATCGCAAGGACTCAGTTCGCCTCAGCAGAGAGAAAGTGTGGATGAATCGTCTTCGAACTATTCAACCACATGGTCTCAACATCCAACTTGGAAATGATTAATCCTTTTCTTCCTCCGTTGTCTTCTGTTACAGATAATCCACCTGGTCTTCCTTGTTTGTGTTTACCCATCTTCCCCCTTCTTTCATCCCTTTCCACCTCCATACTGTTTCCCCCCGCATCATCCCCCTTCACTTTCACACTCTTTTGTCCGTTCCCACTCCCTGTGACCTTTGATCCTTCCCCTTTCTGGTCCCTCCCCTATTTACACCAGACCCCTTGTGGTTTGCCATCTCCCTTTGTTTCTTCGTTCTCCCATCCACCCTCCCCTGCATCTTTCCACACCTTTTCCACCTAATCCTCCTTTTGTGTTTCTTCTTTCAGCCCTGCATGTTTGTGTGCACCCCCATGTTAATGTATGTATCTCTGTCATTTCTGTTTTAGCCTCTGAAGAAGAACTTGCTAAGTTCGCAACGTCAGGCCACATTAATTTTTAGATTTACACGGTTATGTTTTCTGAAAGTATCCGGGCAATTTTTTTTTTTTTTTTTTTTTGCCATCTTGCACATAGGCACATGTTCACGACTCTAAAAATTTACACAGGGTGGGAGATGTAGTTCCTTGGCCCTCGGCCAAATGAAAGCACTTTTGTTCTTGATGATATCCACCCAAATGTCAGTACAGTGTTTGGTCGTTCTGAAAGTGACGTATAGTCCGGTGGAGGGGTTTAGAAATTTTAAAGATGTATTTTTGTGTAATTTGTAAATCTTTGCTATAGTTGTCGGGATTTTCAAACCATAAGGTATATGTTTAACGAACAAAAGACACATGGTCCAATGTCTCTTTAACGAGTTGGACTTCCAACAGTTTTGGTTTTCAATGTGTATGTTTTGTTTGAATATTACAAACGTGTTTGTTTGTTTTTTCAATCTGGTCGATCCAGCTTCGAAAAAGAAGCCTTTTTAGTTTCATTTTGAAACGGGAGCGCTAAAGAAAAAAATCAGTTTTCCGCCCTGGGGAAACAAAATGTCAAGCAACAAAGTACCATTTGTAAAGTAATTTATACACATAATCGTGAAAATAAGCAGATGTTTCTTGCACTGCTTTATTAAGAAGAGGATAACTTCTGTATTGCTTGCCATCAGTTCTTCATCAACCTTTGCATGTAGGCAAACGACATGTGCAGGTCTCAGAATGAAAACTTACCAGTCAGTAAAATCTCTCTCCTCGCTTAGATGAACTGAAAAGAAACAATACAGTGACACTCAAATTAAATCGGAGAAGAGATATGCCAATAAATATAGTTTTCAAAGATTATGTGGGTATAAAAGTTCTCGTTCAATTCACAAATACATTTAAGCCTGCGGTCAAAGATTTGGTTGAAAAATGTGGCATTTTTTAACACTGATATCGACGTCTTATTAGGTCTTTATAAGTAACATTAAGTAAAGTCTGTCCCGAGCCAATATGGCCCAATCAGGCCGGCGTTATCTCCGGTTTCAGTTGCATGAAACGACTGAAAATATCTGTTTACCGGTCCCCCTGGAGGTGATGCTAGTCCATAGCAGGTTACTCCCCAGCTAATGCCGGTACCCATATATACTCCTGGTTGGAGTGAGGCAAGTGGGGGAGAAGTGGCTTGCCCAAGGACACAAGGTATGGCCAACAGCTGGATTCAAACCCCTGACCCTCTGATTATGAGTCACAACCCTAACCGCTAGGCTACACCTCCCCAATAATTATTATATAAGTATGTTGTAAGAAATTTTATGTAGGGCAAAAACATCTGTTAGAAATGCTCTTCACTTGCAATGGTAAATGTTAAGATTTTGAGAAGATGACCTTTAAATGTGTCTTCATTTGAACTATTCACACAAAAATCTGTATCATCTAACATTGATATGTCGGTTGTTGAAATAAAGTACAAAACAGACCTTATGTTGTCCGATATATCACGGATCGAGGGTATAAAATAGAAGATATAATGTTCATAACTGTTCATGCTCTTCGTGGAATTCGATTTTGTTCTAACGAACTTTGACAAAATAATGAGTATTTAACGAAAGAACGTCGGTATGTCGGTATGTCGGTCTAGTACCTTCACACAGCTCAATAATGACACTCAAATCTGCATCTAATAAAATTACTTATTTAGACAACGCACAGTCCGGTTTTTAAACTTCTTTCTTACACAAATTTTATCAAAATCTCACTCTATTTCTACGCGCACCTGTCTTGGGACTTAATCCAATGCAATCAATCCTCTTTATTGATAACCATTATGGCTTCTAATTATATTCAATCACAGTTGCTTAACACACTGTGTAAAGAACAGTTTGGGGACTTTCCAGACTCTTGAAATATTATAGGGGTACTGTTCGAGCTCTTTATTCCATGAAATTGTTTGTGTACTGTCGCCTTAGCAACTTGTAAATGTCGCCTTAGCAACGTGTAAACAGAGACCTCCGAACAACAGAAAATGCACAATAAGAATGTTTTCCCCTGTGGCATATAATAGTATGACCTATGAGAGGTGCGCCAAGTCGTTTTGGCGACATTTGAACTCAGTCATCCTTTCGCCTGAGGGTGAAGCTAGTCTGGTTCCCAGACCAAAAGATTCCGACTATTCCTGATGAATCTTAGGTCCGGTAGCCTCCGGTAATACAATGTATTACAATTTAGGTCACGTGACTAAAACGGGAGGAATTCCTCCTTTTTCCGAAAATTTCCGAAGTTTGCCGAAGTCGTTCGTCGACAATCGGATAGCGCCCGAGTATTTCCGAGTATATAATATAGGTTTAATTAACTGCTAATTACTTATTAATTTTATTTTAAATGAGTTGATAATTAATATTCATTGTTTCATTTAGAAAACTTGAAATTCAACGACGATTTTGTGCATCAAATATATTCGGATCGTACGGGCGAACTTTTTGCTGCGTCATGTACAATTTTGAATTTGACGACCGTTACCGAGATTTTCCAAAACTCAGTCTTCATTCGGCTCCGCCTGCTAACAGTGCTATTTGGTTCCGTAAGTTTGAAGATTCCAGATCAACATTACTCAATGTTATCTTACAAAAACATCAAGCTGTATTATCATAACTGTATGATATTACGAAGCAAGTGATTTATTTGAAGATTTGATCAGAACATTCAAAGCTACAAGTGATAAAGCGAAATTGGAAACGAAGCCGCGCTTTGAAAAAGGGCCATTAATGTCGTCATGTTTATTTTTAGCCACGGAGGCTGCCTGACCTACAATTCAAGACGTGAGCGTCGGGAATAATTGTCAGGTCTGAGAACCAGACTAAGGGTGAAGCCGGAAACTCCGGTGGCGTGAGATCCCATTGTTTACTAAGACCTTGTCAATATAAAATTAACAAGAACCCTGGAGGTAAAAAAAAAATCAAAATTCACTGTAGGCGGGTCACATGCTCCGTCAAAAAACAAACTTTAATGGAATCAATCCTGGGTGTTTTTTTTTGGTACCTCGTTCCTCCTGGCTGGTTACGACCACCGAGTGAACCCGGAGGTAAATCTCCTGAAGCTCGCTGCTATTGTTGGAACTTTTCACCAATACGAAGCCAATCTATGATAACATTAAAATATAAACAGCATAAGTTAATTGTTAATAAACCGTGTAGCGCCATCTCATCAGAAACTTAAGCTTTTTTCTTCATCTAGCAGGGTACAAAGTGTGAAAAAAGGTCGACAACTTTGACTTAGGCCAAGTTCGGGCAAGGACCATTAGTCGACTAGTGGTTGATTTGTGACGTACCTTACGCCTGCGCACTGATAGCAACGTGCGAACGTCTCTAGTCAAACGCTGGTCAAAATGTCATCACAAAACTTCTGGATCCTGGCTCTCTGCTAGCGTTATGAATGCGCGCGGCTATTGGTTACCAGCGAAGCAACCAACCCCAGTAGGCTGGTTCCAAATAGTCGACTAGCGTTGTCAACCACCGTCGACTAGACAGAGTTCGGGCAAACGTTGGTTAACCATTGGTCAACTATAGTCCTTGCGCGAACTTGGCCCTAGATTACCGCAGTGCAGCGTTATACAGGGTGAGTCCAACAAGAAAAAAGCGGAACCCAAACCCCCAAAAAACTTTTCATATTTAAAAATATATATATATATTATGTGGCACCTAAACTAATAATGACTGGAAAGTCAATTTTAGAAACTACTTTTAGATGGAAAAATTCTGAAATTGCTCAATCCGTTCAAGGAATACACCATTTAAACACACTGACCCTAAAACCTGTTTCATCCAAAAAGTAAGTTATTGTGTGTCTGACTGTTTGGAACAAAAAAAGCAATTTATTGTATGTTCTGACTGTTTGGAACATCAAAGAAGATGACACAGGATACTTGTTTCAACAACTGTCGACAACTGTAGTACACAATATCTTTATTTACAACCCTGCTTAGGCAAACAATATGATTTAGGCCCAAAAAAATAAGTCTCCGGTTTCTGGTATGGAGCTTGCCCAAAAAGTGGTGCGGCGACGCGGCTTTTTTTTTTTTTACCTGATTTTTTTTTTTACCTGATTTTTTTTGCCTTAAATGTCGGCTGATGACTGCAAATGGTGCCCGACTAGACTTAGTGCAAATACATGGGAGTCCAGAGAAGCCACTTAAAGCTTATTCTCGATCATAAACCCATCTAAAAACACACGTTAAAACTGTGCAGCAGCAGGATTCCAGTCAAACCAGTGAATTTGGCGGTTTTGAGACATCATCTTTCCTTGAAAAAAAAAACTTTTTCATTTTGCCGACGCGCATGGCTACGGCGACGCGCGCGCATACCAGAAACCGGAGACTTTTTTTGTGGGCCTAACAGCTCTATCTTTTTTTAACAAAACAAATCATGGTCACAGGCCCAATGCCGGAAAAAAAACGAGGAAATATGCATTCTTATGTTATTTAAAAAAATATTATTGTTGCCTGGCGCAACAAAGTATCAACGAAAATACCTAATCACAGGACAAAATAATAAGGACAAACAAAATAAGGAAATGTGCACAGTATTATCATCCGGTTGCGTGCAGACAATCTTGCAAATGTCCTTGAATAAACTTACCAACATCCAGGAAATAATTCGAGACAAGAAGACAAACACATCTGGTCTAGAGCTTTCAAACAAAAGTTTGTTAGTGGCCTAGAAGTAAAGTACTCAACTTTTAGATAGATAGTTTGGACATTAAAAGTCCGGGAGTCCATTGGGGATTTCCAGTCAATTTCCGTTTTTATTGTCTATGCCTAATGTCTACTTCAATCCTAAAACAGTTATACAAATCTTTAGTTATTGGCTCATGTATTATGTCTCCAAAATTAAAGCAAACTGTAGAAAGACTTATTGTACACGGTCGTGCGGTACGATGTTTAATCCAAGATCCTTGTCCTTACCATATTGTCATATATGATAAATACATTGCGGTCAGAAAAAAAATGGTTACCAGGGTACCAGGGTACGGATTAGTGTAAATTCACATGGTCGGCTTTTTTAATAATATTTGTTTACATCTGACGCGAAAGCTCATGAAGACTTGCCTATTCGTATTTCCATCAGCGTATAAAGCTTTCAAGTTATTAGCTCTTATATTATATCTCCAGAATTAAAGCAAATTGTAGAAAGGACTCATTCTACACGGTCGTCCATGACAATTTTTAATGCAAGTACCTTGTCTATACCATATTGTCATATATGATAATTACAAATACTGTAGGCCTAAGTGGTAAACATTTTACCGAATTACAACATACATCTGCAGTCAAGTATATACCCTCCTGTGGAAACATGCATTGTGGGCCCTGCTGTTATTGGTCAAGTTACCCATTGGTTTGTTAGAAGTATACCAGGGGAAATGGAAGAAAACTTTGACCGTTTGTGACCTTTTAAACAGCAGGTGTGTCTGTGTTTTTTTACGAACCGCAGAAACAAATGAAGCGAAATTCGAAAACGCAATTCAACAAGTTTATATTTGCATAGTAGCAAAATATGTGTTAATTTTGTATTAAACAGCTTCTTTTTATGTTTTACGTCACTCTATACTAACATTATAACATCCCTCTCCCACTTTGTCTATGTACAAAAGACACAGGCTGAGAGAAACCACGTCCGGCTCACACAGCTGTGCCTACTATGCTCATCACCCTCACCAGTGTCAAAGCTGAAAAGTCCATTGTTTACAGCACTTGCTGATCAACCAGAACAAAAGCACTTGCCAAATAATTGTGTCCTTTTGCATATACAGAACAACAAGCCACGTCACCCAAAGACAATGCCACTTGTAGAGTCAATGACATGTTTTGGTATGCCTGAGGGCAATAGGTGTCACAATCGCTGAAATTGAGCCAAGAGTTGATGCCAGATCTTGTTGCTAGTGGTTTACATGAATATCAATTTTTTGGGGGCGTTAGCTGTGACACGTGTCTTGACGCAGAGTTTAGTTCATTCTCTTTGCATACAAAATAATCGTTCTCTTTGCATACAAAATTGCCATGAAATAATTGCACCATCAAGATCTCCAGAATTTACTCCCGGCTGAAAACGATGAACTTAATCCGGCACGGGGGTTTACCCTCCCTCCCCGCCCCCTTGAATGTTTTTATAATAGCTCAAAACGAGCTACAATAGCCCTATCCATTTTCAACAAAACAAATCATGGTCACAGGCCCAACACCGAAAAAAAATAACAAGGATATGCATTATTATGTTATTCGAAAATTCATTATCTTTGCCAGCATGTCCCCACAAAGTATCAACGAAAATACCTAATCACAGGACAAATAATGACAAACAAAACAAGGAAATGTCTGCGAATGATAGATGTTCGGGCCTATATAGACGCTTTAAAAATCACATGGTTGCGTAGACTCTTCAAAGCAGATTCTTCAGGCTGGTCTATATTGTGTAATTTGGTTTTTGGCGACACTCGTCTGTTTTTATTGGAAGGTGGCTCTGCTAAATTTGCTGGTACACAGATAATTTATAACGCTTTTTGGTTGGACGTGTTTACTTCATGGTCTAACTTTACTCGGGTCCACGTGCCCACAAGCAAAGTGGAGGTGCTTAAGAGTTCTCTTTGGTTCAATGATAATATTAAGGTTGGTGGGAAGTGTATTTTTTATAAACATTGGGAATGTAAAGGAGTTAGATTTGTTTGTGATCTTATTGACGAGAATGGTAATCTTCTTTCTCTCCACGATTTTAAGAATACTTATAACGTACACACCAACTTTTTAGAGTATGGTGGGGGTGTTGAGCGCTATTAAGTCATCGTTCAGGGATATTATGTCGGAACACTCTCATATAAAATCTCCCTTTGTTCCGTTCAACCTTGAGGTACTTTTACATGACCAAAAGGGATCGCAAAGAATATACAACGTTTTAGTTTATTCTAAACATGTAAAAAGAAAATTTGTGGACAAGTGGAACGTCAAACTCAATACCGACTTTGAAATATCGAAGTGGTCTTCAATTTTCAAAATTCCTTATTTTTGTACTGTTGATATTAAACTAAGATGGTTTCAGTTTAGATTAATCCATCGGATCCTAGGTACTAATTTGTTTCTGTTTAAGATCAATAAGAAGGACACTAATCTGTGTACATTTTGTAATAATGAAGAGGAGACATTAGTCCATCTTTTCTGCACCTGTCCTCATACTATTTCATTCTGGTCCTCAGTATTTTCATGGATAAAGGAGAAGACAAATGTTTCAATTGCAATGGATAATGAAGTTCTTTTATTCGGTAACACTTATGTTAACAGCAAAATGATTAATTTAATACTGTTGATCTGTAGATTCCATGTGTACAAAATGAAAATGAATGAGAAACGCCCCTCACTTCTGGTTTTAAAAAGAGACGTGAAGAACTACTATTTGATGGAAAAGCTAATGTTTTACACTAACGGAGTCAGCTTCAAATTCTATCAGAAATGGGACAAATTCTTGATATTAGGCCAAGTTTAATTTATTTTATTAGAATTTAAGTCAGTATTTGCTTTATTTACATTGCGTGTACGTTTATTGCTTGTATGCCAAGAAAGAGAAGAGTGAACAATAAATAAGACTCCCTGGGAGAAAAAAAAAAAAAAAAAAAAAAAAAAGGAAATGTGCATTTTTTTGTGAGTCAAAACCATGTTTTATTTGCCTGGCTCTATCGAGCACAAAACAAATTCATGGTCATGGGAACAACTACAATGCATGCTGGGAATCAAATGGTGCCATTGGCTGAAAAAGCCATTACCCATTAGCAACTGTACTCTTTTGTTATATATTGTATTTATTCACTGAAAAATCGATCATAATACTGTAGAGTGCCAGGGCGGTTTTGGGAGCTATTCAGGGCAAATTAGGAAAGGCGGTGTTGGGCGATATACAATTTGGCGTCCAAGGTTACCGCTTAAAGGCGCTTTATGTCCACTTTTGGAGAACAATCACCTCTTTTTTTCTCTTAAAAAAATAATAATTTGCCCCAATAGTTCAGTAACTAATGATTATTTAAAGAGGTTGTGGAATGCTCGAAGACATTTCCGTCATTTTTTGGGTATATGTAGCCTAAGGTGTGATGGAATAAAAA